TAGGATAAACCCACTAAAATCTGTACATCTAAAGAAACTAATCAAGAGAGAGGACCCTGACTAAAATGCTCAATCCCCATCCCAAAAGGCAAAGAGGATAGACATCAGAAGAAGAAAGTAGGAAACAAATTAAGAGCCTCCCACAGAGGGCCTCTGAAAGGCTCTGCCCTGCAGACTATCAAAGCAGATGCTGAGACTTATGGCCAACTGTTGGGCAATGTGCATGGTATCTTATGTAAGAAGTGGGAAATAGGAAAGATCTGGAGAGGACAGAAACTCCACAAGGAGAGCAACAGAACCAGAAATTTGAACACAGGGGTCTTCCCAGAGACTCATACTCCAACCAAGTAGCATGCATGGAGATAACCTAGAACCCCTGCAGATGTAGCCCATTGCAGTTTAGTGTCCAAGTGGGTGACATAGTAATGGGAAGAGGGACTGGCTGACATCAACTGATTGGCCTGCTCTTTGATCACCTCCCCCTGAGGGGGGAGCAGCCTTATCAGGCCACAGAAAATGACAATGCAGCCACTCCTGATGAGATCTGATAGACTAAGCTCAGAAGGAAGGAGAGGAGGACCTCCCCTATCACTGGAATTGGGGAGGGGCATGCGTGAAGAAAGGAGTGGGAGGGTGGGATTGGGTGGGGAGGAGGGAGGGGCTTATGGGGGGATACAAAATTAATAAAGTGTAATTAATAAAAATAAAAATAAAGAAAAAATAATAATCAGCAAGCCCTGGACAAAATAAACCAAGAAAAACTCAACTTTATGTTGGTAAGAAACAGGACTTCTACCCACTAGTTGGTATTTGTTATCATTAGTGATGACAATGTCTAAACAGGTGAAAACTGTGACCTTTAGTTTCAACCTTACCTTTTAATGTTGTATTTTTTAAATGACTTAGAGATATAATTTATACCCAAGATACACTCTAAGTTTTGACATACATACTTTTGAAACCTGGTATCACTAAAACAACATACTTTAATCTATCCACTCTAAAGCTCTTCCTCTTGTCTGTGCTTGTTTTTTGAGACAAAGTCTCACATAGCTCACATAGCCCTGAACTCCTGATCCTGTTGTTCTATATCCTGAGTACTGGCATGCAACATCATGTCCAGTTTATTTACAGAATAGTATCTTTTTTCAATCTATCTCATTTCTGATACCACAGAATCAATGGTTTGTTGTCACTAAATGTTATATACAAAAACTGTGTAGTGGTGCCTTTAATCCAAGGGGGACCCTGTGAATTTGAGGCCAACCTGGTCTACAGAGTGAGTTCTAGGACAGGAAAGGCTACACAGAGAGACCCTATCTCAAAAAGAAATCTCTCTAAATATACATATATATGAGAGATATTTTTTAATATATATATAGAGAATATATATTGAAAAAATATATATTTTCTTTTTTAGATATATCTCAGTGACAGCACTTGACTGGCATACATGGCCAAGGAATCAATATCTAGCAATAAAAAAAGAAAAGATTTGCTATTTCTACAATTTCACATATACTGAATTACACAAACACAGGCTTATTTTACCAGTGTGTATAGTTATACATAGGCTGCATATATAAACATTTTGTTTATTGATTAAGTTATATAATAAGTGTGTGTGTGTGTGTGTGTGTATATATATATATATTCATCAGTAGACTTTGAGCTGTTTCTAGTTTTGACCTATTTTAAACAAAATTGTTATAAAAATTTATGCTTTTACTGTTTGTAGCTATAATCCCAGCATTTGGAAAACTTATGTGAAACTTGAAATTAAGGGCCAGACTATTTAATGAGATTATGTCAAATCAAGTCTGTTTAGATATACGTTTTCATTTCTCTTGGATAAATACAGACCAGACCAGTCTAGTCATACGACTGACAAGTAATTTTTTAAGAAATTGCCAAACTAAGTAGGTTAGCTATTCTTAGTTACAAAGAATCCCGCGTTGCTACATGCCCTCACCAACACACCACACCTCCATTTTGCCTATTCTTTTGGATGTACCCTATTTCCCATCATGGCTTTACTTTCCCTAATGATAACACTACTTAGGACATCTCTTTTGCTCACTTATTTCCTTATTTCTACCAAAGTAATTGTCTTCCTCCTTTGGATTCAGTTTTGTTTTTTGTGGAGTCTCTTGGCTGGGGTATTCTGAAAATTCCATTTTATTGCCGTAACAGGTTTATCATTATTTTACTTGAAGTATACCATATCCATCCTTACTGTGCACAATCTGGTTAACACTTTTTAATATGGATCCACTTTTTCTTGTTTGTTTTCAACACAGGGTTTCTGTGGGTCTTGGCTGTCCTGGACTCAGTTTGTGGAATGAACCATTTTTCAGTTGTTATTTTAGTTTCTTTAATGAACTTCCTTTAGGGCTGGGGAGACGGTTCAGTGGCTAACATGTTTGCTATGCATGAGGATCTGAGTTTGCATCCCTAGCAGTCACATGAAAGCTGGGCACAAGCATCTGTATGCCTAGCACTGGGGATGTGGAGACAGGTAGATCCATAGGGCTTCCTGGACAAGTCTAGCTAAAATGGTGAGCTCCAGATTTAGTGAGAGACTGTTAAAAACTCCTGACATAAACTTTTGGCCTCTATAATATTCACAAGTACACACACAAACAGACAATCTTTATTTCTTGACATCCTTTATTATTAACACATTTTTTATTTCTGACAGAAAAGACCTGCTGGCAACAAATTTTGCTTATCTGAAAGGCTTTGTTTGTTTTTCTGTGTAGTCTTGGCTGTCTTTGTAGACCAGACTGGCCTCAAAGTTAAGGGAGCCACCTGCCTTTGCCTCCCAATATGCTAGGACCCAGCTTCTGAAAAAAGTCTTAATATTGCTTTTATTTTTGCTTTTGAGACAGGGTCTTACATTGTCCAGATTAGCCTTAATTCCTAATCCTCCTGTCTCCAACTCTCAAGTGATGGAATCACAGGTGTATGCACCATTACTGTCTCATTTTTCAAAGAAATGGAGATTAAGAATTCAAGGTTGATACTTTTTTTCCTTGAAATTTCTACAGTTCATTAGTTTTTTTCTGTGACAGGGCAAAGGTTCCTCCATCTTGTCTCATTTGGAGTCATCCTTGATTTAACCTGAAACTGATGCTCCCAGTCCCTTTTCTATACCAACCATGAAAACTCAGAATTGAAATGCCTAGATAACTGCATATTTTTGGTTTCTGAAACTGCTTGCTTGCTTTACTTGTGTAACTGCCAACCAGGATGTTGTTTTTCTATATTCTTGGGCTCTAAAAGCTCTCTGTAAAATGCATTTGAGGCTTTTCTGTGAGAAGTGTTTTTCTCTCAGGCAGTCCTGGACGGCTTAATACAGACTATCAATTTGGAAGGTCATGCTGAGTAGTCTTTGGGTCTCTAACCCACAACAATCTCCTGAGACATCATGTCACCATGGCAGATCACACCGAAAATCCTTTGCCCATCTTGCTTTTTGCAGCACCAGTGTTGGCCTTTGTAATCGTCCCACCCCACTCCATCCCCAGCAACCCTTTCATTCAAATCTTGCGTTTCCTTTGCTGTTTTCTTAAGCACCCCCCATTTTTGTTTGTTTCTCTCTTTTCTTGCTCATATAGGGCATGTCTTGAAAAACCTGTGTTTAGGTTTGTTTTTTCTTTGCAAAATCCAAAGAATAATAAATCATGCTGAAGTCAGTAGTCTTGCTGCCACCAAAATAAGTTCTAAGTCAAAATAAATATAAAGAAGCCACCTGGTGTGGCTTCGTACATCTTGACTGCTTTTCTGTGTTCAGTCCTAGTCTTTCCAAGGTGAAGGACACTTGTTTGCTCTTGAAGCAGATGGAGGCCATGAACTTCCTGGTCTAAACAGTCTCATTCTTGATGGCAGTGTTTACCCTTCTCCAACCCTTTAATGATGCTGTTCTCTTTCTTCCTACACTCAGCTATGGCTGAGAAATCTGTAAAGCCTTTGTTCTACTTTTGGGGGTGGGGAGTTCAAAACAGGGTTTCTCTGTGTAGACTTGGCTGGCCTTGAACTCTCAAGAAATCCCTCTGTCTCTGCTTCCCTGAGTGCTGGGGTTACAGCCATGGCACCCAGCCGTTTTACTTTTATTGTATCTTTTTTTTTTTTTGCTCTTTTTAAAAAATTTTGTATCCTGCCTGTGTCCCCTTCCTTTGTCTCCTCCCAATCCTACCCTCCCTCCCTCTTCAGCCCCTATGCATTTTTTTTTAAGTATGGAAACTATTCATTTGTATGCTATCCTGGTACACAGGCCATGCCAATCACTTTTGTATTGGTTGGTTCAATGTTAACATATATAATTTTTTTCACCAGTTTTCAAGAAAATGAGGTGTTGATATGGTATTCTCAGTTTTGATTCTGCTTGAAGTTGACTGAATTTCTTGGCTGTGCAGATCATACATCTCAGTATTCAGAATGAGACTATATTATTGACTTCCAATCCCACAAAATTATATATATATGGCTCAAACTTGGGGAATTGAATAGTGACAAGAACTGTTCTCACTATTCTTCATTTTCATATCATATATGAAAATCCTGACTCTGGGTACAGCCTCTGGCACTATTGTTATGGTTAAAAAAAAAAAAAATTGTGTGCCACAGGGAAAAGAGACTCAGAGTAGCCCAACAACCTAAATTTCCTCCAAGAGATTACAATACATCTATACCTGGGCTATTACTAGACCATAAAAAGAAAGATGTTATTGATACAAAACAACATGAATAACCTGCCAAAGAACCACACAGAAAGAAGTCAATCTCAGGGTGGATATTGCATAATCACACTGAAATTACCTAATCATAGAGAAAAAAAGCAGATTATGGTCACCAGTAATGGGGTAGATGCCACGTATGTCTTTAAAGGGGTAGCATGAGAGCCCCTTGCAATGACAGAACAATTCTGTAATTTCTGGTACAGTCACACAAACCCACATACATTTTCTTAGAAAGAAAGACGTAAAAGAATCCTTTACCTTTGCTGTAGTTGCTTAGGTCTTCTCTTGTCAAGTCAATAACAAAATCAAGTTTCTTCTCTACAGCCTTAAGAATTTTTGTAAAAAAAATTAAGTTTAACAGCAGAAAATGTTTTGAAAATATAAAAACACATTTTTATTTTTCAGTGTTAAGGATTGAACCTTGGCCTTGACTGCATTCATGCTCAGCACCACTAAGTTAGCCCTAGCCCCTCCTAATAATTAGAAGCTGGGCACTCAATATTCTTTAAGTAACTTATAGTTTAACTTAGCTCTATCTATTATAGATCCTCATAAAATGCTGAAGTGTCTCAAAATACGGTTAAGAATCTCAATGAACTGGTAAATGTGTGTAGCTCATTGATGTAGCTGCTTGCTTTTCAGTGTGCAAGGTAGACTAGAATCTGGATATGCAAACTACTTTTATATTTATTTTTGTCACTCCCCTCAACCTCTCTGAAGAAGGGGCAGTGACTGTAGAGTTTCGGTGCACCTAGACAAGGAGTGGATAACAAACTTCCCACAACATGCTCTAACACTGGAAATCCTATAGTGTGAACATTCAGAGACAGCAACTATTACTCACTTCAACTTCAATTACGGTATTAGATGAGTTATGGTCATTTCTTGATTTATTTTTTCCAATTTCTAGAAGGAATAAAAACAATCACCAATACATCAATTAAATAAAATAATGATAAGGATACTAATTCACTATATAATAAAAAAAAAAACCCTAAACTTACCTCTACAACTGATAAGCTAATTTACTAGTAGTAGTTCCTGCCTTTCAAAGTCTGAATGTTAGGGCCTGAAATTGTGACATGCTTTTCACAGTATCTTTAAGTATAGTGCTTGAGGAGAACCTTCCTGGAATGTACAGTTCTCCACTTCTTTGGAGCTCTTTAATTTACAAACTGTTGAGTTAAACATTGTTTTACATGTGGGGTGGAGGGAGTGCAAAGCCTTCTGCTATTAAGATATAATATCCAACACAGCAAAACACTACACAAACACAGGGAATTTTGGGTAAGAAATTGTGGGACAGCAATATGGCTCTTGTAGAGTTAGGAAAGTTAAGAACATTTTCTACAAAACCAAGTGTGTGGCACATGCTTGAGGAAAGTGGAGGCAGATAGGTCAGAAATTCAAAGTCTTTCTTACTTACACAGAGAGTTCATATCTTGTGAATGAGGTGTTACATGCACACACAAAAGCAGACACAATTTAAGCAGAGTTCTACAAAAACAACCTATCTCATTTTAAAAGTTCTTTTTTTTAAACAGAGACACAAACTCTAAAACTAAAAGTAATTTAAAAAATTTTAGAAATAAAGAACTTTTAATCTAAAATAGGTTATAGTAACATAAAGACAAATTAACACTACCACCAACAAAAGACCAAAGCAAACAAAAAAGAGATACACAAAAATAATTTTAAGCTGTAAGTCATTAGAACAACACAGTAAAGAAGCAAAAGGCCTTAAGCTGAAGATACAAGATTAAAAGAAATTTTAATTTCTTTCAATTTAACTAATGAAATCATTAATTTCTTTTTAGGTATTAACAGTTTATAATCACAAATATAAACCAGAAGACTTTTGAGTAGAAAATAGAGCTGGAAAGATGGCTTAGAGGTTAAGGGTACATACTGCTCTTCCACAGGATCAGATAACCCGCATGAGGTGGTTCATAACTGCCTGCAACTACAGTTCCAGAGGGATCAATGTCCTCTCTGGCCTCTCAGAGCATCCATGCACATGAAACATACATGCACAGAGACAAACATACAAACACAGAAATGAAAATAAAAGTCTTTTAAAAAGCCACTGTTCGTAATTTTTAACCTAATTTGATAGATCATATTCTAATTATTGTAAGATACCTGTTGCATCAGATGTAAATGAAGTTGTCAAATTAGGATGTTCCACAGAAATCAGCATAACATCATCAGTGTTACTAAAAAAAAAAAAAAAAAAAAAAAAAAAGGAATGAATTATCAGGTTTAAACATGCAGTTAATGGTCAGAATTTTTCTAATTTTTATTTACTGACTTTTATTAAAGAGTTCAGAGGACAACTTGTGCAGATTGGTTCTCTCCTTCTGTGGAGATCATGTGGCTCTGGGGTACAAACTCAGGCAATTAGGCTCAGCAATAAGCACTTTCACTTGCTGAGTTGTAAGGCCAGCCCTCATAAATGTTTAAAATGAACAACTATGGGGGAAAGAGAATAAAAATCAAATATTCAACAAAGCCATGTACTATCAATTCATTTACATGATCCATAAGTACAGCGAGGGCTGGTAAGATGGCTCAACAGGTTAAGGTACTTAATGCCAAAGCTTGTTGACCTGAATCCAATCTCTGCAACCCATACAGTGGAAAGACAGAACTCTCATGTGCTGTCCTCTGATATCCGCAAGTGACAAACCACACACAAACACCCACAAAATAAATGTTGGTTCTTGTTGTATAAACTACAGGGAAATCCAGTAATAGTTAAGTAAAACAAATAGTTACAATAAAATATACTAAATACCAGACACAGAAGTATATGAAATATACAAATATCACTTTAACGCACACTGTTCTGTTTATAAAAAATATTTACAACTGAAAAAAATAAAAGACCCATAAATACACTGACTGTTAAAGGATATATGACTCTGAGGTTGGGCATGCCACACACCTGTGATCCCAGCACTCAGGAGGCCAGACTGAAGAAACAGAAATTTGAAAATATAGCTGCCACTACTTTACCACTAATTCTAAACCAAAAGATCAGATTTTACTGCCACTTCAACCCTAACCATACTTTTATGACCTAGGCTTTTTAATAAGATTTTTTCTAAGAAAACATAAACAAAATGCTAAATTAATTTTCTATAATTAAAAATTACAGCATTTTACGAGATGTCTTATATTTTTAGGATCTATGTTCAGGATTCACTTTGATTCAACTTTTATATATAAAGAGCTGAGAGCCAGGTGTAGTCATTCAGGAGGTAGAGACAGAAGCAGGTGGATGGCTCTCTGAGTTCAAGGCTAGGCTGGTCTACAGGGTGAGTTCCAAGACAGCTAGTGCTATACAGAGAAACCCAAAGTTTCTCTGAAAATTCAAACAAAACAAAATGAGCTAAAGTTTATCTTTTTATATAACTTGTTATTTTATAATAATAAACATTATTACAATCATCATGATCATCATGATCATCATGATCATCAGGCCAGGAGTCTTATGTAGTCTGGACTGGTCTCATTATGTAGCTAAGAATGACCTTGAAATCCTGGGATTTCAAGACACATACATTTCCTCTCTAGTTATCCCAAGCAACACTGTTTTCGAAAAGAAAATCTTTTCTCTATAAGTTATCCTGGTATCTTATAGAGAAAAGATTTTCTTTATAACGGGTGAGAGAAAATCTTGGGTGCAGATTAGCTTGCAGATTGATTTATGCGCCTCTCCATGCAACCACTGTCTTAATTTCTACAACTCCATCAGGCTCTAAATGCAGAAAGTGAGTTTCTGTTTTATAACATCATTATCTTTAGGTCTTTTTATTTTCATGTTTTAATCAGTTTGATTCTTTCTACAAAGTATCTACAAAACGATCACAGTGAAATAAGATTACATTAAACATATATAACAACTAGGATAAAGTGACATCTTAATAAGCAGCTTTGTAGGTCATGAATGTGACCTTCCATCATTTAGTTAGGTCTCTTGTAATTTGGCAATACTTTGTAGTCTGATTACAGTTTAAGCATGTTTTAGGTTACCTCTCATGTTAAGCATGTTTTAGGTTACCTCTCATGTTCACTGATGGTACTGTAAATGTACTGTTTCAAATTCCAGTAGGGTGTTTTCAGGCCGGACATGGTGGTGCTCACCTTGAATCCCAGAACTCAGGAGGCAGAGGAAGGAGTTAAATTTGGAGGCCAGCATGGTCTATCTAACAAGTTCCAGTCCACCCAACCAGGGCTATACAGTGAGACCTTGTCTAAGAAAATGGTTTTCCCATGCGCATTATATGTAAAAGCAAAACTACTTTATATTTACCTATGTTTGCCTAATTCTGGAAGTCTATGTTATTATACATATATTCAAAATTTTCCCATGCAACCAACCCATATTAATATGGACTAAGTGTATTAATCATGATCTATTGATACAAAGACATAATTCAGCAACAAGAATGGATAACCCATTGCAGTTAAACAACAGCATCTATGGATTTTGCATGACAATGCTGAGTAAAACCATCAAGAGCCCAATCATTTAGTGAGAACGATTCTGTATATACAAAATCAAGAGAAACAAGTCATGGTACTTGCAGTGGTAATGATCTGACTGGTGTTCACTGCACAAGGTAGGTAAGGCATCACTGCTGTTTCCACATCTGACAGGTGAAGATGACCAGGCTGACTTGGAGTTGTTATGTAGCTGTGATTCCTCTTTCCTGCCTCTATTTCCTGACTATTAGCATTGAAGGTGTGTACATATCCCAGCAACCCTTTGTATTTCTTAATAGTTTATGAATTCAAAATTCCTATTACATCTTGCTAGTATTCACTTAAAAATATGTCATTTGGGCCAGTGAAATGAACAGCTGGTAAAAGCACTTGCCACCAGGCATGATGACCTAAGTTATATTCCCTGGGCATACATAATAAAAGGATAAAATTAACTCCTGGAAAGTGTCCTCTTAGCCCACACATTTGAGAGCATTCATGCAGTTGTTGTCTGAATGAAAACATCCTACATAAGCTAACAGGGTGTGGCATTACTGTCAGTGTGGCCTTGTTGGAGAAAGTGTATCACTGGGAGGTAGGCTTTGAGGTTTCAGAAGCCCATGCCAGGGCCTAGTGGCTTACTCTCTTCCTGCTGCCTGCATGTTTGGATCTAGAACTCTCAGCTACTTCTCCAGTGCCATGTCTGCCTTCATGCTGCCATGATGATAATGTGTATAAAATTAATAATCTCTCCAGGAAATGTTACTATATGTTAGATATGGACATCTGCTCCACAGACATCATCTCTGGATTTCAATCTTGACTTGACATTTACTAGTGTGCTTTGGTTTCCTTGTTGGTAAAACCAGTATAAATTTTATAGAGATTAAATAAGGGCTGGAGATGAGGTCCCTAGCAAGTAGGAGGAAGAGAAGGGACAAAGAGAATTGAGTGTTTATAATTTTTAATTAAAAAACTTTTTTAAAATGCGCGTTTTGCCTATATGCACTATGTGTGGCTGGTGCCTGTGAATGCCAAAAGAGGGCTCTGGATCCCCTGAAACTGGAGTTGCAGATTGGTTGTAATGCCATGTGGATGCTAAAAACTGAATTCAGGTTCTCAGCAAATGCTCTTATCTGTTGAGCCATCTCTGTAATCCTAAACTTTATCAAGTGTATGTGAGTGTGTGTATGTGTATGCCACAGTGAACATATAGAGATCAGAGAGCCAACTCAGTAAAATGTGATCTCTCCTCCTAATTTTATGTGGGCCCCAGAAGTTGAACTCAAATCATTGAGCTGGAAGGCAAGTTTGTTTTTTATTTACTAGGCCATTTCACTGGCTCCTAATGAGCAGTGTTTTAGAGACAGGGTCTCCATATAGCCCTGGCTCACCTATAGCTCACACAGATCTGCCTACCTCTGCTTCCTGGTACTGGAATAAAGGCGTGTGCCACCACCTCAGGCTGTCTGCTCATGTCAAATTCTGCAGAAATGCCTTCATATGCAGTGCAATGTAAAACTTACTTCTTTGAGCAAGAATAACATTTTGAGTGATGTGATCTATTCTGGATTGCCTTAGACCTTTATGCTTATTTTTCATCTTTGAAAATAAAAGCATTACCTTCTTATTAAGCAAATTTCTTAAAGGTATATACTCCCTGGCATATAAGCCTTCTCTGTGAGCTTCGTCAACTCAGTTACTATAGCATTTCCCAGTTTTCTTCATATTTTAAACATAAGATGCTTAAGCTAAATCTAACCATTAAGAAGCAAAGAAAGATAATAGCAGAACTAATTTCTTAAATTTTGGATTATTAGAAACAAAAATAATTAGAAACCTTTGGCTTTCTCTAGTGGCAGAGTAATAATGAGGAATACCACATTTCTTTTTTTTAATTTTTAAAAGATAATTCCTTAAATGTTTTAAGAAATTAATTGTACTTATATAAAACTAGATAAAATGATGTGTAGAATAGCTGATGGTGGGGCTCTTACTCAAACAATTTTAAAAGCTGTAGTTAAAAACATTTCAACTGCCAGGTGCAGGTGGCACATACCTTTAATTCCAGCACTTGGGAGGCAGAGGCAGGTGGATCTCTGTGAGTTCAAGACCAGCCTGGTCTACAGAGCGAGTCCAGAAAAACAAAAAAAAACAAAAAATTTCAACTAATCAAATTAACAACAAAATATCTGAAGATATTACAAAGTTGCTAAGGTAATGAAAACCTTAAGGCCTAAGGCCCTGAGAAGAGAAAGATAGAGAAAAATGAGGCTTTGATGCCCATCTCTGCTGCCCCTCACAAGGCATGTCTTTGCCATGCAGAATTCTTGGAAACCAAGCAGAAGGTGTTTAGAAAGCACAGTACACTCTCATGAAGACAAAAACCTCAATAAAACATCTCAGAGGGGACTACAGGATACACCTAGGAGTCTACATGAAACTTGGGAGTAGGGAAAATAAAAGATTGCGTCTTATAAAGACTATAAGTAAGCTTCATTCTGCTCAGTTCCAAATGCCTGAGTATTGTACTACTCATATCTAAGACCACACTGACCTTTAAACAGAACAAAACAAAAACCAAATCCTTATTTCTTTGGGTGCAGAAGTAGTATAGTTAGGAGATCCTGGCTCAGGGTCTCTTTAAGGAGGTTAATGTGGGCTGCGCTAACCCAAATATTTGAATAGCTCTACTATACAGATTGTCCCATTTCATTTTTAGAATTTTACTTGGGACACATGAATCTATTTTATGGGTAACTCTTCATATATACAATATTCTTTTTAATTTTTTTAATTTTAATTTTCTAAATTACAGTTTATTAACTTTGTATCTGAGCTGTAGCCCCTCCCTCATTCCCTCCCAATCCTACCCTCCCTCCCTCATCTCGTCCAACGTCCCTCTCCAAGTCCACTGATAGGGGAGGTTTTCCTCCCCTTCCATCTCAGGACTGGCTGCATTGTCCTCCTCTGTGGCCTGGTAAGGTTGCTCCTCCCTCAGGGGGAGGTGATCAAAGAGTCAGCCACTGAGTTCATGTCAGAGACAGTCCCTGTTCCCATTACTAGGGAACCCACTTGGAGACTGAGCTGCCACAGGCTACATCTGTACAAGGGTTCTAGGTTATCTCCATGCATGGTCCTTGGTTGGAGTATCAGTCTCAGAAAAGACCCCTGAGCCCAGATTTCTTGGTTCTGTTGCTCTCTTTGTGGAGTTCCTGTCCCCTTCCAGTCTTTCTATCTCCCCCTTCTTTCATTAGATTCCCTGCACTCTGCCCAAAGTTTGGTTATGAGCTTCAGCATCTGCTTTGCTACCCTGCTGGGTAGATTCTTTCAGAGGACCTCTGTAGTAGGCTTCTTTCCTGTTTTCTGTTTTCTCCCTCTTCCAATGTCTTTCCCATTTGCCTTTCTGTGTAAGGATTGATCATCTTACCCTGGGTCCTCCTTCTTGCTTAGCTTCTCTGGGTGTACAGATTTTAGTATATTTATCCTATATTATATGTCGAATATCCACTTATTAGGTATATACTGTGTGTGTCTTTCTGCTTCTAGGATATATCACTCAGGATTATCTTTTCTAGTCCCCACTATTTGCCTGTAAATTTATTTCCTTGTTCTTAATTGCTGAGTAATATTCCATTGTGTAATTTCTGTATCCCACATATAGAATATTTTTAACACTGATTTTTGTGTCAAGGTTCATTTCCAATAAAATGAAATGAAGAAGCTTCTTTCATATTCTTTGGCAAGAGTTTATTTAATGTTTATATTATTTCATCATTAAATGTTTTATAAAACTCACTTTTTGAGTTGAGTTATGGTGGCACATGCCTTTATTCCCTTTACTCCAGAGGCAAAAGCAAGGGGATCTCTTGAGTTTGAAGCCAGCCTGGTTTTACACAGCAAGTTCCAAGCTAGCCAGCCGATAGAGAGCACTGTCTCAAAAAGCAAAACAAAATATAACAAAACACAAAAGTCATCATGACCAAATTGCATGTTTGTTACACCATCTGCACACTTTGCAAAGGATGCTTAATGGCCTGGAACAGTTTCAAAACCTGCAGGTGTTTTTCAGAATACAACATGAAGTGAGTGTCTGCATTAGACAGGATACACTATAAGTCGACACATTTGCCTGTGAAGTGCCAGTACAATGAGTCTTCTGCTTCTTCACTTGAAATCAGCAGCACTTGCTTTCCTTTTTTTTTTTTTTTTTTTTTTTTTTTTGCCACTTTAGGTATTCCAGAACATGCTGTTGACAAGTGGTGGTAGCAGAAGACTCACTGGTTCATGACTTTTGTCTTCACCAACTAAATCCCTTCTTTATAGTTCCATCACTTAACACCAAAATACAGGCCTCACCATAATTAAAAAATTGCAAAAATTGCTGGAGAGATGGCTCAGAGGTTAGGAGAACATCCACGTTAGGTGGCTCACAACTACCTGAATTCCAGCTCCAAGGAAATCTGGCATTCTTTGCTGAACTGCATTTACATCATGCACATAATTACACACAGACACACATATTTACACATAAAATAAAAAAGAATAAAAATAAATGAAAATGCAGGGCTAAGTAGCATGGGATTACTAGGGTAGCTCTTGAAAAGTCAAAATTGCATGTTAAGTCTGAAATACACAGATGAGCCAGGAGAACATATCTCAAAGAAATAACACCAAAAGGCCTTCATCAACATGTTCCACTACACCGCTTGGAATAGCACTGATCTAAGCCAAAACCACCAACCATGCTTCTTTGCTTCTAAAAACACTTCCTAACCAAGCCAAATCCCTCAGGCTACCGACCAGTACTTTATGAGACAATCAGACAAGTAAGTGCACCCCAGTTGAATGTTATCATGATCATACTTTCATGATACCAGTGATCCATTAATCACTGTGACAAAGGCGGAAAGCAGCTCAGTGGATGAAACCTATCACCTGACCAGTTCAAGATCCAAGTGTTGTTGCAACAAAACTGAAGCTCAGAGAACCAACTGAATTTTAGATTATTGATGCTGATTTAACTAATGTAGCTGTGAACATATATTTAGACAAGTAAGTATGCATTTTTATAGAAATGCCTACCTTTCAGAAACAAACTCAACACATGCTGATGGCAAATTAATCCTACCACTTGCTTCTTCTGAAGAGTTAAAAGGGGCGTGGTTCACAGAAGACACTCCTTTCCTTCGACTTTTATCTGGCTTTTGGGTCACACTCAAGTTTATGGCCTCTGAATCTGTAACCTGTTAAATGGATAAGGAAAAAAAGCTGATGAGTAGACAGTAAAATTGTTAAAATATTAAAAGGTATGTACTTCAATGGCTGATGACCATAAAGGTGGTTTCTCTGCCAAAATGAGTCAAAAAAATAACAATGACAAACAAAGACTCTGAAAATACTATTGCAGTCCAAGTTTTAAAAACTAAAATAGTGATTTTGCAGGGCACATGCCTGTAATCCCAGCACTGAGAGGCAGATCTCTGTGAGTTTAAGGCCACCCTGGTCTACAAAGTGAGTCCAGGACAGCCAAGAAATCCTGTCTTGGGGGAGGGGAGTGACTTTTACCTTCTTCAAGTTGTTAGATTTATTTAAACATTTAAACCTTAGAGTTAAAGTATTCACTCCATGCCTCAGTGGAGAATTAACATGGCCTTTTCTTTTCCTTTAAAAAAAAAAAGATTTCTGTATTATGTGTACAATGTTCTGTCTGCATGTACACTGGCATGCCAGAAGAGGCATCAGATCTCATTATAGATGGTTTTAAGCCATCATGTAGTTGCTGGGAATTGAACTCAGATCTCTGGAAAAGCAGCCAGTGCTCTTAACCTGAGTCATCTCTCCAGCCTGGACATGGCCTTTTTTAAGGGGGCATCAACACTAAGGTAGACACACAGTAAGTCAAAACTCTGAAGTACTATTATACTAAGTAAACTGATTTTATATGGGAGTATGCCCAAGTAGCATTGGGAGGCAAAGCAGAACACTTACATCCTTTCACTTCCATGACAAGGTAACATGGATCCATTTTCTCCTTTTCCTCCTCTCTAACTGCTTTACAGCCTTGTAAATAATTCAATGGGTAATCATAAAGTAGCTGAAAATTTTAATGCAAAATGAAGACTGGCTAGGGACCGCCTGACCACAGTATTCTCTATAATCCACACTAGAGTACAAGGATGCCAGAGATCTACCCATCCTCGTAGTAGTGGTGGTGACTCAACCCCAATACCAGAAGACTCAGTTTCCATCTCCCAATCAGGAGCCTGATGCACTCCTGCAGCTGGACCTTTTCCCAGTCTCTGTCCTCCTCTGGGGCAAGAGAGGTCAAATAAGCTGTTTGGGTGGGAAAAGAGAGCGGTGGAAGTTGACAGAGATGGGCAGGACCCATGGGGGGGACTGACCAGGAACCTAGCTTCCTGCTCAGTACCCAGGCATCCAGCCCCCAGCTCACCCCCAACCCCTTCCAGCCCTCATTCCCCTCAGGAACCCAAAGTTCTGGTCCTCCTCCCAAATTCCAGCCATCCCTCTCCCACTAGTGTCTCTCTCCAAGTCCAGGGATAGAGGTCGAAAGACCTCAGGAAGAAGAGGATGGTAAGCAGGGTCCTCTGCAAGATGATCAGGGCTGGCCCCCTGTGAACGCCACCCCTCAGCCTTGGCAATCTGCTCCTCCCTTCCCTCCTCCTCCAGGAACCTGCCACACACTCCTGGGGCCCCTTTAGGGCTCCCTGCTCTCCCTGAAGACCAAGCTCCTTCTGGACCTGGTGGCTGAGGTCCAGTCCTGCCGCCTAGAGGAGCAGAGGGTGACCTTCCACACCCCAATGTCTCTCCAAGCCTAGCCCCAACCCCACGCCAGCTTCTTGAGGACAAAAAACAGCTCTACAGCACCATCCCTAGTGCCAATGGGTAGAAGCCCAGTGGTCTGAGCTTCCCGCCCAACCCCCACCCTGAGGGACAGGAGCTCCTGGAGTTGCTGCTGAGAGTTCAGGGTAGAGGTTGAATGGAGGGGCAAAGATCCCAGCCCCCTACACACACCTGCTGAGACCTGAGCTCCCTACCAGTCCCTTCTCTCTGGGGCTCAAAGGCCAGCCACTCCAGCAAGTCTTCAGCCCTGTTTGGCAGGGGTCCCAGAGACTGAAGACCCGGCTGGTTTACAGTCTTTACCACCCACTTTCCCTGGGAACTGGACTTGGGGCAAGTACTCTAACCTAGAGGATATGCAAAGTAGGGTGGACACAACTCCCCAAGGCAGTTAAGAGTCTATCCTGAGCTGTTAAGCTACTGAACAGGGAGTGAGGGTTGAGGCCTGTCCCTTCCTGCCTAGTAAGAAAAAAAAAAAGAAAAGAGTAAGACAATTGTCCAGCACTAGCACCCCTTCCCCTGACTCCAAGGCAGAGGGTCCCAGAGGCTGTGACGTGACCCTTAGCCCTGCCCACCCATCCTGCTGCTGAGTCTGTCTGATGTTTTGGTTCTATGAATAAATATAACTGCCCTCTGGAAACAAACAGCAGGTTCCACTTCATAAACCACAGTAGCAACTGGGTCAACACTTGGGACAGAGAAGTGGCTGTAGCAACAATAGCAAACACAGTCCAACAACAGACTAATGCCCAGAACTCTACCCCAGAAAACCAGCCAGCCAAATCTACTTTAAAGCAATATTCCCATGTAGGCCAGGAGTAGGGCATAGATTACTACAGCAGCAGCAGCACTGAGCTCCACACTAGAGGGCCAGCAGGCCAATCCACTCTATGACCATGAGCACAGGCCGGCCAAGAGCAGTGGGGACTGAGGCAGCACCTGCAGGGACTCAACAGGTGACCATGTGACCATGCGGAGCCCAAAGAATGAAGCCAAGCAGAGGAACACACAAAAGCCATTAAAGTAAACTGTTACTGAAACTACAGCTCAGAGAACACCTAAGAGGACATATAAGCCTAAGTAAAGCAACTGTAAAAGGAGTTAAGTGGCAAATGGTCCTTCCACGGACTAGCGAAAGCTGGTGGACCTATGTATCCTTTTACCCCAGAGCTGTGAGAATCATCAAGTCCTGGTTCTTTTTTGTTGCACAGTCCCTCCTTTAGTACCACTTCTGTATTTTTCACATTTAACTTTAGAAAATAAGTAATCAACATTGTTATCCAAGCTTTCTGTCCTCATTTGGAAGTATATTCACATCTTATGATCCAACAAACCAAGCAGATTATTAAAGCCTCTGTGTATTTATACGAACCTTACAGAATGTATTATTGGGTAATATGTTTGGTTCTAAACAATTTCCTTGAGATGATAATACTGTTTTGATACGTTTTTGAAGTCTTCTTATTTTTACCTAGAAAAAAGAAAACTAAGTGAATAGCAAACCAGAGTATTAAATCCTACAAAAGAATGAGAACTACTTGACCAAGCAGTCCTGTGAAATGCAGGCATATATTCAACCAAATGAAAAGGACTTCTTTTCCTTCACTTCCTTTTCATTATAGTTCTAGGCCCTGATGACCTCCAGCAGGGAATGCCTTCTATTCTTTCATTCCCTTAGCCAGCATCTTACTTGTTTGCTTGTGTACAGGTATGGTTGGATGTATTTCAGGTGGGCCATGAACTCCCTCTGTAGCCAAGGGTGAATTCCTGGTTTTTCTGCCTCTATCTTTAGGTAATGGAGTTATACATTAGGATACCCCTGTTATAGATGCTGGGGATCAAACTCAGAACATAGTGCTAGCTACACCACCATACCAATTTGGCTACATCACTAGCCCCAATCATAAATTCTTACAGTCATCACTTGCTATGCATGGAGAAATAGAGTTCCAGGTCCAATATAGATACAAAAATCTACAGATATTAAAATCATGCATACAGCCTTTGCACACTTTAAATCATCTTTACTTACAGTGCCTAATACAATGGGAATGCTATTACACAGTTGTCACACTGGACTGTTCAGGGAATACTGACCAAACAAAAAGATCTTACAAGTTCAATAGAAACACTTTTTCCCTAAATATTTTTAATGTTGGTCTGTGGTGGTACACACCTTTAATCTCAGCATTCAGGAAGGCAATGGCAGGCAGGTCTCTGATTGAGAGGCCAGCCTAACCTACATAGTCAATTCCAGTTGGAGCTATGTAATGAGACCCCATCTCAACAGCAAAGGAAAAATAAGTCTGCAGTTAGTTAAGTATAGATACAGAACCCAAAATGTAGAAAACTGATAAATGACATTTGGCTACTAAGGATAGTTAAGAATGGAAGAAGCATGTAATGATGGTGCATGGTTTCAGTGCATGGTTGCAATTCCAAAATTAAGGGGACTAAAGCAGAAACAGAGTTCAAAGCCAGCCTACATTACATATATCTAGCTCCAAACTCAAATAAAGAAAGCATGAAAGATAAAACAAACAAAACAATCAGGAAACTTAATCTGTCCACAATAAAAATATTGGTGTAAAAAAAACAAAAAACAAAAAACAAAAAAACCTCAGACAGTAATCCTAGAAAACCTTAAAAAAAAGGGCAGGTGTCAAAGATCTTAAAACAGATTTAAGCTCTAACAAAGAGCATATCAGAATGGAAAGAAAATGCTTACATACTACAGATAACCATCAATGATTACAGAATGCTTATTAGGACTAAGATTGTTTTCAAATCTTAAATTAGTAGGTCTTCTTTTATTCCAGGGGTTCTCAATCTGTGGGCCATGACATTATGATTCATTATAGTAGCAAAATTGCAGCTACGAAGTAGCAATGAAAGTAATTTTATAGTTAAGGGTCACCACAACATGAGGAGCTGTTTTAAAGGGTTGGAACTTTAGGAAGGTTGAGAACCACTGTTTTATTGCCTCCTTTTCCCAACATACAGGGTATGACCACATTCTACACATATTAAAAGAAAGAAAATGAAATTTGAAACTTACAAAGAGTTCCTCAACTATTGCTTCATGCTTGTTCCTGCACTGGGTCTTCCCAATGCGTTCATTCAATTCATTCAGTTTTTTATCAAATAAATTACAACTTATCATGTGGATCTCCTGTTGAACCCAATGTTTAACCTAGAATTTAAATAAATACCAAAACACACAATTTCAAATTTTAAAACAATTCCACTTTCTACTTTTTATTTTTATATGTATATGGTCTCCATGTATACGTGTGCTACATTGCAGAGAGGCCAGAGAGGACATAAGATCCTCTGGAACTGGAGTTACAAATAATCGTGAGGTGGCGTGTGAAACTTGAACCAGGGTCCTCAAAAGAAAACTCAGTTGTTCTTAACTTCTGAGCCATCTCTCCAGTCCACTCAACTTTTTGAGACAAGATTTTTTTTTCACTATGTATCCCCAACTAGTCTGTAGACAAGATTAGCCTCAATTTCAAAGACTAGCCTCTGCATCCCAGGTGCTGAATTAAAGGTGTATTAACACCAGGCCTAGCTTATTTTCTACTGCTTAAAAATTGCTTTACTCTTTCCTGATATTTTATATTGAAAAACTACTATACATTACTCTCCACCAGTAAGTTCTATAAAAATTGGTATTAAATTTTGCACCGCAATCTAATATGTAGCACACAAATATACATGTTACAAATTAAATTTACCCTCAAAATGCTGACTTCACCTCACACAGTTCCAGTTGACTACTGTTTCCATAATACACATTAATCAGACTTATCAAAACGAATCCAGAATAAAGCTATTTCACTAGAACTGAAGATTATATTTCTTCCCTCCTCTTCTTTCTTTTTTTTCTCTCTCTCTCTATTTATATATTTTAGATAGGGTTTCTACATACAGCCTGATCTGTATGCAGATCTGCCTGCTTCTGCCTCTCGAGCCCTGGGGATTAAAGGTGTGCACCACTATGCCTGGCCTGGAAGATTATGTTTCATTTCATAGTGGATCAGACAGACCATGTAGAAACACATAATTGGATAAAAATAAAAACAAGTATACTAAGAGTGTAAAAAGTAGTTTACCAGGTTAGTTTGGAAAAGGAGGTGTATAACTTGGTGAACCAACTGTGATGCAAACAATAAACAGCTATTGCTGCTGATCAAAAACCCTTATGACCAATACAAAATGCTGGGTTGTCAAGTAAAGCTCAAGATCATCCCATGTTTGACTTACACATTTGGCAGCATATTAAAGACCTTTTCGTTTTCTACAAGACTTTTACAGACATATAACTCTGTAAATTACTTAGTCTAGAATCATTCCTGAAAATAGAAATATACTGGTAATGTAAATAATTCAACTCTTATTATCTTAGCTAGTTTTATGGCAACTTGACACAAGCTAACTAGAATCATTTGAGGAGGAAACCTCAATTGAGAAAATGCCTCCATAAGATTGAGCTATTTAAGCCTGTAAGGCATTTTCTTAATTACTGATTGATGCGGGAGGGCCAAGTTCACTGAGAGTGATGCCATCCCTGAGCTGGTGGTTTTGGGTTCTATAAGAAAGCAGGAGTGGTGGTGCATACCTTCAATCCCAGCACTTGGGAGGCTGAGGCAGGCAGATCTTTGTGAGTTTGAGGCCAGCTCAGTCTACATAGAGTTCCAGGACAGCCAAGAAACCCTGTCTCATAAAACAAAAACCTAACAACTTTATGCAGCTGGAGAGATGCTCCGTGGCTGGGAGTACTGACTGATCAACAATTCCCAGCACCCACATGGCAGCTCACAGCTCTTTACTCCAAGATCTGACACCCACAAACATATATGCAGGCAAAACACCAATATACATAAAATAAAAATTAAAAAAAAGAAAGCAGGCTGAGCAAGCCACCCAGTAAGCAGCACCCCTCATGGCCTCATGCTCTGCCTCTAGGTTCCTGCCCTGATTACTTTCCTGAATCATGGAGTGTGATACTGAAAGCAGAGGCAAAATAAATCCTTTCTTCTGCAAGCCTCTTTCAAATGTCCTATTTCATTACAACATTAATAACCCTATGACATACTATAAAGATTTTTACATGAGTGCATGTGTATGCTGAGGTATGTGCACATGAAGGAAGAGGCATCAGATTCCCTGGAGCTGGAGTTACAGGTTATAAGGTACCAGAAGCTGGGAATTGAACTCAGATTCTCTGCAAAAGTAGCAAGTACTCTTAACTTCTGGTCTCTTCAGCCCTGTCAACATTTTTCACTAATCAGAAGTATAAGTTCCTAAAACAAAGACTTTTAAGCCCAACATTACCTGTTCTAGCAGTGTTGTGTGCCTTACCAGAGCTACACAAGCATTTTCATTAATTTGCTCTGAAGTTTTCATGACCTTAACATTTTCTTTGTTGTCTGAAAACATCTTCTTTTGATTATGGCCTTGGAAAGACAGAAAGATTACAGATAAAAATATTCCTTCCTAAGAAAGAAATCAAAACTCTGATTCAGGGAGTTTAATCAAGTGGAAAAACTAAAATGTGACAACAGCAGTACTTAAAATTTTAATTATTATTTTTTTTGGTGGGCATGGTAGTACATGATTTTAATCCCAGCACTTAAGAGGCAGGTAGATATCTGTGGATTCAAGGCCAACCAGTGCTACACAGTGAGACCATATATGCGTGTGTGTATGCATGTGTGTGTGTGTGTTTTAAGTAAATATAACTGCATAAAAACCTTTCTATAAAAATGTTCTTTAAAAAAATAAATCTTTGGTAGGTAGGCTTCTGGCCTCAGATACAAACCCTTTTCAGTCGGTTTCACAGGATAACCACTGTGCAAGGTGGCACATAGTTCAAATTACAGCATTTTGGAAGGTGGTAAGAAGATCAAGAATTTAAGGCCAGCCTGGGCTTTATACTGAGACCTTGTCTCACCAAAACAAAACACATAAAAGTAAACAAAGCAAAAGCCTGTCAAACACACAACCAAAATAAATAAATAAATAAAAACACAAATATCCCAAAACAAACCCTAAATAAATTTTTTTAATTTAAGCCAATGCATACAGTCACTTAAGGAATCCATTACTTTGATGAAATTATTCAGCAATTTAAATTACCTTGTTAAAGTAATTCTTTTGTACTCTAAACAAAAGATTCTAAACAGTGTATGCATGTGCACAGAGAATTAAGTGTGGGGTCAAAGGATATCTTTGTGAAGTCAATTCTCTCTTTCTACCTATGTGTGGGTTCCTGGAATTAAACTCAGCTCACCCGGCTTTGGAGAGAGCACCTTAATCTGCTGATCCATCTTGCTGGCCCTAACCAGAATTTTAACCAACCAACATAAAAATTCTACTTCTAATGTGATTTACTTTGTTATTTTATATCTCCAGAACTTTTTTTTTTTTTTTTTAGTTACTCGGTTTCTCTCCAGGTAGCTCTTTGTAGTTGGGCATATACCTAGGCACACATTATGAATAACTGCATCAAGAATCTCTTACTTGTCATGATCAATCAATTCTATGGAAAGAAATAGATTCACCAACAACTTAATGTACCTGTTCTCTAGGGAGGACAAAGCTTCCACCTCCAAGGTGCTACTGGCAGTTAGTTTGCAGAGGGAGGGGGAGATATTTAATTTAGTTGTATATCTACCATTAATATGTCCATGTTCCTGTACACAACACTCATTAAACTCATTGAGTCACAACAAACACTCATGAAGGTATAAGAGGGTTATCCCCAATCTTTCTTTTGCTGTGCTGGGAATCAAAGCCAGGAACGTAACAGATCTACCATTCAGCTATATTCTCTATCTGAAGAGGAAGGAATCATTGGTAATGGGGTAGAGGACAAGTATGACCAAAATACTTTATACATGTATGTACATATGTAATGAAATTCATTATGTATAATTAATGTTAATAAAAACCTATGTCTAATAAAATCTGAAAACAAGAGACATAGTTAAAATGAACCATCTGCCATCAACTGCCTTTTGAAATTTTCTGTACTTTTCCTGATAAAAGTGATTAATCCTCCCCCTTTTTTCTAACTTTTAATTTTTGTTTGATATAGCAGATATCACTAAATTGAATCAAGTTTGGCCTAAAGCTCCCTGCATGCTTATAGTTTGGCTTCAGTGTCTTTCTCTGTGTGGTAAATTGTAATTTTAACTAATGTATAACAGACTATAGTTGTTTTTTTTTTTTTTTTTTTTGTGGCCTGAATGGATGTATTCTTAGTGTATCATGTGCTTGCCTGATTTGCCCTGGGAGACCTGAAAATGGGCATCAAATCCCTGGAAACAGATTCATAGATGGTTGTGAGCCAACATGTGGGTGCTAGGCATCAAAGCTGGGTCTTTCATGAGAGCAGCCAGTACTCTTTTAACCAGAAACAGTTCTCTAGCCTGTATAACCTACCTCCATAGAAATAAACTGTTTCAAAGCTCAAAGGTGATCAAATGATTAAGCAAAACAGATACACATTAACCAATCCAGCTGCCTCTCCCCTGTATCACACTTCCTTTTCTTTGGCTGTAACTTTAACCTGCCCATGTGATAGGAAGGTTTGTTGTTTAGATACATAGTCTCATGCAGCCCAGTCTGGCTTCAAATTGCTATACAGCTGATGATGACCTTGAACTTCTGATCCTTCTGTCTCTACCTCATTAGTGCTCTGTATTGCAGGCATGTACCACAATGCCCAGTTTATGTGGTGCTAAGGACTGAACCCAGGGATTGTTGCACACTAGGTAAGCACTCTGCCAACTGAGCTACATACAACCCTAGCTTCAGAAAAGAGCTCTTTTCAAAAGTATTTGGTCCTGCCTATTGCCCATTCTAGCATTGTAAATAAGCATATAATTACAGTGATGAGCCATAATTTTCTCCTTTAAAAATCAAGAACAGTTCACAAGCAAAAGCTTGAAATCACAGCCATCATTTACTTTTTATCCTATTTATGTGTCCTACTTTTTTGTATGTTTGAGACTTCAAAAATCCCCCTATGGAAAGTGATTGAGTTTTTCTAAAAGGCACAGAGCCATACACTTACTATAAAGGCCAAGTAATGACTGCCACTTTGGGTATGCCTGTTCACAATTTAAAATGTCACAGTGACAGGTGCTACCGCATTCTTTGGTTATCAACATGGCACCAGCAAAATTCCTAGAGCAGAGTAGATTCACTAAGCTAGGTGGTTTCTCAAGAGTCTGAACATAATTTTTATTTTTATCAGGAGACTCTGAAGTTGCATTTACTTCTAAACTGGAAACCATCTTGTTCATTTTCTTGTCATCCGAAGTATTCTGGGCTATAACCCTCAACAGATGGCCTCCAAGTTTTTAGTATAAAGTTATTATAACTCTCATGTTCAGAGAGATCTTAATACACTTAACTCCTATTGAAAAAGAGTTTCACAAGTGTCCTATGACTCTTTTGCCTCTTGTGTAGAGAATTTACACAAGGAGGAGTCAATGGTTGTCTTTGGCTTTGTATAAGGACAACCTGTTCATCAGTGTTTCCTGATCTTGTTTCTGAAACAATTTCTTCTATTGCTTTAATCAGGAGAATGCTATACTTTTCTGTGAAAACCGTGAATTATCATTAGAGTCAAATGAGGAATCAACATTTTCAGAACGGGTATACTTGCTACTGAGCTATAAAACAAGGACTTGAACTCTGATTACCATTTGGAATATTAGTTCCAACTGTTGTTTTTGGAGCTTCAACATTCTTTGACTTGTTCAGGATCTCCAACTGCTTCCGACAACTTGTAGGCATTGTTTTTTTGGCCTTTAAAATCTTCTGTTTTTTTCTGTCTGGACTTTCCATATCCTAGAATTTAAGGTATATTTAACATGACACTTTGTCTCAAAAAACAAGATTTAAATGCTTTTTCCCAGTGAAATAGTTGTTGTAATATTAAAATGGTCTAATTTCGTTGGCAGAGGAAATTCCAAGACAGCCTAACATTAACTATTGAGTAGTTATTAATAATCACTCTTTAATGCAGGTTTATAATGAAAAATTGCACGCCGGGCAAAAGACATAGAGTGTACAGTTTGAATAAAAAGAAATACAAAATGTACCATGAGTCAAAGAGTACCAGAAAATTCAATTTTGGAGCCAAGGCTTATGCTAAAAGAGGTAAAACTTGCTGTGAAATGGAATAAAGGGAGAATGCCCTCTTCAAGGCAAGATATAACTCATCCTGCAACTTGCAAAAGAAACAGGACTGAGGTTTTTTCTACTCCTAAAAAGCAATAACAAACCAATGATTATACACAGTTAATTCAACAGGGTGGGGAAGGCAATGATCCATCTCAAGCAGGCAGCTGAACTTGTCACTGTTGGCCATGTGGTTCTGGCGTTAATCAGGAAGGAAACAAAAGATAAGGTGGTTGTGGAATCTTCTGCAGCTGCTAAAAAGAGTCACTTAGGCCAGGCATTTGGCAAAGGAGACCCTGCATGGAGACCTTGAGGGGCCATTTCATGAACCTGTGAAAGTGAACCCTGGATAAAAGGAAATCATTCACCGATCTTGTGGATTCAGTGTATGCAATCAATTCTTCACTTTCCTGCTTTTCTATTTATTTATTTACTTACTTACTTATTAAGGCAGTGTCTCACTGTATAGCTCTGGCTGGCCTTGAACTCACAAGAGATCCTTCTGCTTCCCAAGTACTGGGATTCAAATCGTGTCTCACGAAACCAGGGAAAATTTTTAAGAATTTTAAGCAGAGACATCAATGTTGTTTCCTCTGTTGAGACACATTCTTTAACTTGTTTGCCAAAACTGGAAAAAGACGAGGAAGAAAAGGAATTTTTTCTTTTTCTGTTAAGACACCACAAAAATCAACCTGTACCTGAAAGGAGTTCCACCTCAATTCATAGTGCCCCATTGTAGTGAATTACAGATACAATGTTAGAGTATTCTGAAGAAAACTTTGTTGAACTTGTCTTGGGTAAACTGGTTAGTGATCATGTAGACCAGACATAAATTTCTCTACAATGTGTGCTTGACCTCTAGGCTGAGAACTGCCAGATTCTTAACTGCTATCTCCACCCTTCTGAAAACAATGCTTGCTTGCTTCCGCCTCCCAACGTCCACAGTCGCCTTTCTGAATCCCTCTTTGCCTAAAATCTTAAAACAAATTGAAGGTTGGCTGCTCCGCCACTACTCTGCTTGAGACAGGCTCCTGCCGGTTCTGAATAAAGGTTCCACATTGATTTGACTTATTCCAGCCTGATGTTTACGCCCTAACATCACGGTGTAGCAAGCTCAGGAAAGGACTTCAGGTGCTAGTCTTTTCTAGCAAATTGGTCCAAACGTGCTGTCTGTCGTCCTACCATAAATCAAAACCCAAAAGGCAAGTTCCAGGTAACTTATTCCGGCACCTGCATTTTTCAGGGCAAAACGATCCCATTACCGGATCTGATCACGGGATACAGACCCTGGGAGTGAGCTGGACCTCATCAGTTCACCTGCCATGCCCAGAGAGCGCAGAAGAAACCGCACAAGCCATCTCCGCTGAAGTGACCCCGCACACATATCCCAACCCCCACCCCGCGGCGCCTCAGGCCGCGGTGGGCCGGCGCTTCCGGCTTCCCGGCCCCTCGGCCAGCCCCGCGCCGCTGCCTGGAGGCCCACTCCCTCCGGTCCGGCCCCGCACCTGTGTGCACCTTCCCTCCCGGTCCAGCCTCGGGGGGGCGAGCGCCGCGATGAGGCCGGCTGCCCCGCCAACCGCCTCCCTCACGGAGCCATCGGCGCCCGCGACCTACCCGGAGCCGGGCCAGCGCCAGGCCGCTCCCACACACGCCAGCCGCGACCCCAACCAAAAACGATCTGCCGCTGGGCAGGAGCTAGACTAAATCTCCCTCCCTCCGCCCTCGCGGCCGCTGCCAGCCAATGACAGCGCGGAGCTGGGAGAGCCCAGCCAATCACGGCCGCGGTGGGCGGGGAGCAGTGCGGCTGAGGTAAACGCAAACTGACCCAAGGTCTGGCCTGGAGCCGCAGGCCAGTCCCGCGGTGCTCGGCGGCCTGTGAGGCCAGCGGGCGAGCGAGGCCTTGCGCACGGATTTCGATGGTGTTTGAAACTTATTTTCCTGAAACCTCCACAGAAACAAGCCCCGGAGAAAAAGGGTTGAAATTGTTACCAATGAAGCCTTTTTCGCGAAAGCAAGCCTCGGAGGAAAAGGGTTGTAGATTCCAGTTGTGAAAGTTCTGCTGGGTTAGAACCCGGGATGGCGATTGGCCAGTGCCCTGTGAATTCGAAGTGGAGCAGGGGACTCTGCTGCTCTAGGGAGCCTTTAGTGGCGTTCTGTGGAGCATTTATTTACAGAGCTCGGTTCAGAGAAGGGGCCGAGAAACCATGAAAAACAGTGTTTCTCAATACTATCATATGTTCTGGAGACCGAAGGTCGCAAGGCCCAGTGGAGCCAGTCCTTGACTGGCTAAAATGCAATCCTGAGGTGGAGGAGGAACCATCTTGCTCGCTGCCTCATTCCTTCCTCCAGGCAGTTTGGGAAAGTACACCTGGTGGCCCACTAATTTAATCCCAGCAAGCCCAGAGGCAGGGGCCGGCTGGTCTGCATGCGTTTCAGACCCACCAGTCTCAAAGTAAATAAATAAAAATTGTCCTACAGTAACGCATCCTGTTACTGTTACCGAGTTTTCAGACGTCAGTGCCTTAGAGTTTGCTACGTGGCCCTGCGGGCGGAAGAAATAGCGGTTTAGAACACTTGTCCTCACGCAGAGAATTCAGTTCCCAGCACCCCCCACCCATATCGGGCAGCTCACAACTGCCTGTAATTGCAGTTCCAGGGGATCCAACACCCTCTGGCTTCTGAAGGCACTTAAGTGCATATGATGTACATAAATTCATGGAAGGATACTCACACATTTAAATATATATATATATATATATATCTTTTTATATATTTATATCTTTATAATATATTTATATCTTTATATATAAAGACATGATTCTGCTATGTAGGACTTAGCAGTCACTGTGTTTGTTGCAAGTGGCCAGGTTTAGCCTCTCATCCTCAATAAGCCAACCAAAGGAGCCAAATACATGAAGAAAAGCAGACAAAGATTTATTCAGTATAGCCACATTGGGAAGGACAGATAGATCCTGAGACAACCCCAAGTCAATCTTCAGTGTATACTGGGGATGTGGCTGTTAGCTAAGTTTGTTCTATGGTACAGGAAAGAAATTGACCATCTGGGAGAAACAATAAACCACTATATGGGAAAGCCATAAGGCTGAAAGTTGGAAAGTTACATGAGGCAGGCTAATTATCTCCTGTTAGGATGAGAAAGGAAACCCTAAATTGGGAGTCTTCCCAGGGGATCCTGAGTCCTCGTATGTTCTTATTGTCAAGATGAAATGCTTGTTGCAGGAGTAGCCCTTTTCCTTCTCACTGCCTTTTCCCTGAGAAAGATCTTAGGAAGCCTGTCCTGGGCCATTTTGGAAATTTGCCACCTTTATAGCCATGGCTTCTCTCCCTATCTGATCTGCCTATCATGGAATCTATCTAACTCCTAGTCTCTCAAGAGAGTATAAATAGAAAGTCTGGCCAAGTTGTAGTCTCAGCTCTAAGTCTCTCCAGCTAGGTCATCTGACAATTGTGTTTCTTGAAGGAGTCTGGTATTTGAATTCTGCCTCCTGGCCTTGGCAGATGCAGGTCTTATCCATAGTTCCATTTCTCAGAGACTGTCCTTGACGGTCTCTGCAGGCGGGGTGCTCTGAGCCTGAGAAATAGATAGCAAGCTCCCTGCAACCTTGGGAACCAGATAGCAGACTTTGTGTGAATTCCTGCATGCCTTGCCAGGTGCGCAGATGTGTTGCTACTGTGAAAAAATATTTGCTATACCCTTTGCTTTATAAGTGTTGTTTGCACGTTCAGTAAACTGAGACTTGATCAGGAATCTGTCTTGTCTCCATTCTTCGCGTCTCTGTCCCCCAATTTCCACTCCCTCTTTCAGGTGGACCCTGTTCGACTAGCCCGCAGGACAGGACAGTTTCTTCAGGAGACAAGTTCCTTTTCTGGATATCTTCAGAGTTTCAGTCATTTTTCTCCCAGCACATTCCTGGGGCAATTCTAATTTCTTGGATTCCATTCTTTCACATGGTCAGATAGCCAATGAATGTAACCTAAGTGTCTCCATAGAATATATTTGTTCCTGCCAGACATTCTGGTTACTGTCCTGGCACTTTTATCTTTCCTTAAGCTCTCTACAATGTCCCAGATACACCCTAGGATGAGTAAGATTTGGTGAAGCCTGGTGCTTAGTAATGTACTCTTGGGAACAGATATGCCCTTGTGGCCTACTGCCAAGCTTTTGTGTAACCCTTTCCTCCAAGACTGAAACACTCCATTTAATAGAGAAGCTTATTTCACAGGAAGGTAAGCAAATCAAAACAGTTTCAGGAAGATCTTGAAACTGACTAGATTTACTAGGTCCTTCCTGCCAAAATAAGAAATAAATGCTGAGAGTCCCTGAGACTAGCTAAACAGAGCAACAAAGAAGACTCAGAAAAGCTGAACAGCAGCTCAGCTATTACAACTGTAATCATTACCACTACAATCTTACAAACATATTTCCATTATCCTCTAATAATTGCTTATCTTATTTTTAAATTTTTATTTATTTATTTTATGTATATGAGTGCTCTAACTGCATGTACACCTACCTGACAGAAGAGGGCATCAGATCTCATTATAGATGGTTGTGAGGCACCATGTGGCTGTTGGGAATTGAATTTAGGACCTCTAGAAGAGCAACCAGTGCTCTTAACCATTGAGCCATCTCTCACTGTCCCCAATCCCTGCTTTTTTGTTTTGTTTTGCTTTGTTTTGTTTTGAGACAAGGTTTCTCTGTGTAGCCTTGCCTATCCTGGACTCACTTTTTTACCAGGCTGGCCTCGAACTCAAAGATCTGCCTGCCTCTGCCTCCCAGAGTTCCAGGATTACAGGCGTGTGACTCCATGTCCAGCTAACTGATTCTCAATAAAAGTTCTATTGCTTTTCCAGAGGACCCAAGTTCAATTCCCAAAAACACCCATGTTACTGGCTTAGTCTGTAATGAATTTAACATTAAATGATACAACAGAAATGAAGTGTGGTGGTTTCAATAAGAATGTTCCCCCATTGGCTCATATAGTTGAAAGCTTAGTCACCAAGAAGTAGAACTCTTTGATAGGATTAGACGGATTAGGAGGTATGACTTTGGTGAACTGCCAGAACCACAGAGTCAACAGTTCCTGAGTGGGGAGTGAGGATTGAAATAATTAAAGCAAGCCACACTACACATGGAATCAGCTCAAGAGGGCTGTTAGTAAGACTGCAGTGTGAGTTTATTCCACAATTCCTTTTTATAGGCAAAGCAAAAACAAGTCACATCAATACAAGAAGTTCATGGAACAGCCAAACTTGTTTTCTAAAACTACTTCCCTATAACAGATATGGTCCAAGGTCACACAAATAAATTTTAAGGAACTTGGTGAAACTTCCTCTTTTCTCTGTCTCAAGGTGAAAGCCAGGGTGAAAACATATATTTTAATAAGTAATAAAGCTTGACAAACAAGCAGCTCTCCACATTGAAGGAGAAACACTCGGTGTTGTTTTTTTGTTTGTTTGTGTGCTTGCTTGCTTGCTTGTTTGTTTTGTTACACCCAGTTCGCAAGCCCCCAAAAGATCTACAGGAATTGACTCCGTTGCAAAACACATGAGGGTCTTTTTATTGTAAATTACAAGCTGCAGCTTGGGCCACAACACCTACCACCAAAGCGGTGGGAGCTGAGCACGCCCTGCCCAGGTTAGTTGGGTGATTTAAAGATTCTAGTCCATCCCAGCGTGCCCAAGGCAGGGGCGATTCCTGCCTGGCAAGCATCTATTGGTCAAGATACTACATTTTGAATTGATTGGCTATAGGAAGGTCCCCAAACCATAATGACCTGGTGTCCCTCCCTAGGGGAATGGGCCAGTTTCCTAGCAACTGTTATCTCTAGTGGGTGGGGAAAGAATGCAGTAAGGCAGTCCTTCCCCTCAGGGCATTACTGGACTTCTCCACCCACCTAGTTCAGGCCTTAATTAATAATAGCTGCTAATTTATCTTTTGGTCTCTCAGTTTGTAACAAAATCCCAAACATTCAATTTTACCAATAAAGACTCAAGAACCAGATGTTAGGGCAAAAACCTGCTAGTTCAGAGAGGCAGAGAAAGCTCCAGCTGACTTTCCTACTCAGCAAACGTCCCAGAAGAAAAAAGCCCTCTCTCCCGTTCCACACTGATTTTGAAACCCTCTAAACTGTATACCCTACACACACTTCCAGTGGGTTTCTCTATCCATCCTCCAGACTTCCTTTCACTCTCTATGGTTTTCTCCTATTTTCACTCCCTGTCAACCGGTTGCTTGTTCTCCCTCTTGACCTATGGTTGACTTCATTTAATCCTGTTCACAGAAAGCTCTTGGATTGAAGGTGTGTGCTAGGGCTGAGCCACAGCACAACTAGAAACAGTTGTGTTTTTTTGTTTGTTTTATTTTTTTTTCCAGTACACAATCTTGAAGTTCACAGTGTGATCAAACATCCTGCAACAACTGGTGGTGTGTTTTGGGGTTTCAAAAGCCCATGCTAGACCCAGGTTCTCTGTCTGCCTGTGGATCAGGATGTAAAGCTCTCAGCTACTGCACAAGCACTATGCCTGTCTTCTTCCTGCCATGATGATCATGGATTAACCCTCTGAAACTATAAATGTCAGGGACCACCTGAGGGAACTCGCCAACTTCAGAGACCACCTGTGGAAGCTTACCAACTTGCCTCAATTTGCCTGTTCCCTTACCTGCAGTAAACATACTGCTTGGAGATGCCTGTTCCCTTACCTGTAGTAAACATACTGCTTGGAGATGTCAGAGACCACCTGTAGAAACTCACCAACCTGCCTCAACTTGCCCGTTTCCTTACCTGCGGTAAACATACTGCTTGGCAGCAGCAGAGATGTGCTCACAGAACCATGGCTTATCACAAGATGTTTCAGGCCCCTGGCTGAGAATAATCTGTAACGTTTCACCCACCCTACTTCCTAATCCTGAACCCTATTTAAAGTTGATTCTGCTCAGTAAAGTTAGTCCTTGACAAGCACCTGTTTGCTTGGACTGGTTTCTCTTTCTCGCCCATCTTTTCACAGGTTTGGATTCTCTTTTAACCCTCGAATAACCTTAGCTCCACTGGCTGGAGCATATAAACAAGCCCCCAATTAAATGCTTCATTGTGTCTGAAGGGACTGATATCGGCCCAAAACACCCTAAGACCAGGTTCTCAGCACAAACATTTCTTTGCCCCACAGGGACAAAGGGCAGTGAATAAGAGACAAAGGACAGGAAATAGAGAATGAGAGAAGGGATATCTGACCTGGGGAGGGGGAGAATGTCTGGATAGAGAGGAAACAGACACGGCCCATAGGCAAATGCCTATTTATAAAGGTTAAGGGGGAAACTACCTGTTAGTATGAGGTATTTAATTTTGATTGGGCATATTAATTAGGTGGCCTAAAAGAGGGCTTTCGATTTCTGGACTTTAATACTTTGATAGCTGGTCCTTGGTACTCAGCCTTAGGAGGAAGAACTGGCCAAATCAAGAAACATACTTTGGATAACTTTAGGAATGTAATGTAATGGTTTTTAGCAAGGCAGAGGGAATGGGGAAGAAGGGCAAGGCCTCCCAGAGCTGTGTTTGCTATGCTGAGGATAGCTAGAGTCCCTTCTTCACAACAATAGAACACTGACTAAGACAAAATAGGCTTTTTATGCTTAATTTTACGTTCTAGCACACATTATTGGTTTATAATGGCCTGTATAAATATCATCAGGTGATAGCATAGAAATAAAGTATGATTACTATGGTTAATTTTATTATGGTGTGCAGATATTACTATGAATGTACTATGTAGATTTACTACCTATGGCCATCCATCTCTTCTGAATTTAAGAAAATAATCCTCAATAACGAGGGTGAGCCTCAATTAATTAATTCAAGGCCTTGATAACAGAAACAGGTTTCCCAGTTTAGCAGAACTTTTGCCTCCATATTTTGCTGAGTTTCCAGGTTGCTAGGCTGCTGTATAAACTTTGAAAGGACACAGAATCTTTTTTTTTTTTGTTTTGTTTTTTTGTTTTTAGTTTGTTGGGTTTTTTGAAGACAGAATTTCACTATGTAGCTCAGCCTATCCTGTAAACTCATTGTTTAACTTAGGCTATACTGTAACTCATTGGGTAGACTAGGCTGGCCTCAATCTCATAGCTCTGCCTGCCTCTACCTCCCAAGGGTCGGTATTGAAGATGTTCAACACTATGTCTGGCTCACAGCATCCATTTGTTTGAATCTGTATATTGCTCTCAACATTTCAAATTTGACAGTACCCCCCACAACCACATGAGCCAATTATTTTTAAATCCCTTCATACATGTATATAAAGCATGTAGTACATTTAATAGTGTATATAAATAAGCACTAATGTTCTGTTTCAGTGGGGAACTTTTATTTTTGTGTGGTGATGAGAAGAGGTAGGTACACGTATCATGGTACATGTTCTGAGGTCAGAGGACAACTCTGTGGAGTGGGATCTAGAGACCAAATTCAGGTCACCAGGCTTTTGAAGCAAGTGTCTTTATCCATTTAGCTATCTCACTAACACTTTCTGGAGAATACTGACTGAGAGAATTCTAAACAGCTAAATGTAAATAGAACTGTCAGTTTATAAATGACTATTGCAGGTAAAGGGACAGGACTGAGCTGAACTCTTGCCCTAGACAAATCCAGGTATAGCTGGAAATACAAGCCTTTATTTACTCTTTCCATAATGGATCACTGGAATGTAGTATAATGCTTAATGTTTTGGGTTTTTTTGGTTTGGTTTGGTTTTGGTTTTTTATTATATTGTAATCTGTCCTCCAGGTATGAACTGGATGTTGCCCTGAAGAAAATCTGCACAAGATTGGGCCTGTTAACAGTTCATCATTTAGTGGGGACAAGTTCTCAAAGATATCCTCCACAAAGATACAGTTAACAGTTGCTAGAGAAGACAGAATCTTGAGGCCCCTCCCTTCCTTGAAGATATATGGCAGTTAATTAGCAGTTGGGGTGGGGGCAGGGAGAACTGCGATAGGGCCCTCCTCCAATCTAAGGATCCTGTAACAGTTGCTGGGAGAGGTGTTTTTCTTAGTGGTGTAGATTCCCATATCAATTAAATTAGGTTCACTAATCTACACATAGGTGTGTGTGGGGGGGTGTTTTCATTGTTGGTGTCCTTATGTGGATTGAGTAGACTTTTTGTTTTTGTTGTTTTCTGAGACATGATTCTTCTTTATAGCCTTGGCTCTCCTAGACTGGCTTTGTAGACCAGGCTAGTCTTGAACTCACTGCGATTCTCCTGCCTCTGCCTCCCCATGTGCTGAAATTAAAGCATCAACAAGCGTGGGTGGAGGTTTATTTACATCTTTTTGGAAAAAGCTGTAACACATTCTCAAGCAGATAGTTACTATTAGAATTACTTGTTAGGAAACGCTAGATAGGCAGTATTTACACCAAAGGACATAGTTTAGGAAGTATTGACAGGAAGGCATAAAAGGTTGGTAAGAACTTCCATGTACAGTCCAGGCCTGACCACCTTTGGTAAATAAAGTTCTATTGTTATAAGAGCATGCATCTTCATACATGCTGTTAGACTGGGATTGATGGAGACAGCTTGGAAATAAAAGAAAGCAGACAGGTCCTTCCAAGACTTAAAAAGGTAACCCATGGACCACTATATTTCCTATCAGGTCCAATCAGGGGCAAGTACATATCCTAATGTACTTCCGCCCATCTCCCATCTACATGTAAGCAAGCACATCCAGCGCAGTTGATTCAAACAAAATTGTTTAGGGAGTGAAAACTTAAACAGCAGCCTCCAGCATCTCAGAAGTATCTGTCCTTGGGTAAGGGCAGAGACATTTTTATTTCATAGATCTCTTAGGCACAGTAATTAAAAACTTAAAACAGCTTTGGCTCTGCAAAAATTACTAAGGTACTGAGGAGTACCGGAGTTAAAACCATTTACAAAGAAGTAAAATCAGAAATGTGCCAAAGTCACTTACTTGGAGACTGTTTCATTATAGCTCTAGCTGGCCTGGAATTGGCTATATAGGCCAGGCTAGCCTCAAACTCACTGAGATCCACTTGCCTCGGCTGCCTCAGTGCTGGGATTAAATGTGAGGCAACAGCCACTTTTTTTCATTTGTTAAATAACACATATATCAAGAGTCAGTATTTAGGCAGCTTGCTTCTGGGTTGCCTAGTAACCTACGATGCATTGCACCTGGCAGGTGTGGTTCAGTTGCTCTATAAAAGGACCAACTTGCCACTTTGTGGCTCTTTTGCCTTCTTGCTCTTCTGCTTTCTTCCTCTCTCCTGCTCTTCCCCTCTGTCTCAGCGCCTCCCTCTCCCTCTTCTCTTTCTCTGTCTTACCCTGCCCAGTGACACTATGACCACTTCCCTTAATAAAACCTCCCAGGTGGAACCAGTCTCGTGGCATGATTTATGAACCTCCTGTTTAACTCTGCTGCACAATCCTAACAGCAAGGACAGACAGCAATTATTGATTAAAAAAGAAATCATCTAATTTCAACAGTCAAATAAAGTAATTGTTGAGAGTCTTGACAAATTGGTTTCTTTTTACAACTTCTGTCCCTCAGGTTTGCTGGAGTTCTCCAAGCACTCAGAGGGCTGAGGAAGGAGAACAGTCTGGACATGTCTCAACCCCCAACTCCCCACATAAGAGCCAGGGATGTAGCTCACTGTCCATTATGCAGAAGTTCCTGATTTGATATCCAGAGCCACAAAGCAAAATAAATCTTAACACACAAGCAAACAATTTTCTTCCAAACAAAAGGTTTCACATGTTTATTACTGAAATATGAATGAACCTACAAGAGCACAGAAACTAAGAAAACTCCTATTCTCCCAAAACACTCAGCTTTTCAGACAGTAGTAATGTTTTAAACTTGACACAGCAAGCATAAATATGGTTCCTTATAGACCCAGTTTGGTTCGTCGCCAATGTCTCCGCTTGGAGTTGTACATGATTTTATTGCCAGTTTTCATCTGAATCCACTGAGGAATGGGACGATTTTGTTTTTGTTTCTTAGCCAGGAATCTCTTGATCCTGAAGGTCTTGTGAGAAGCCATAGTGAAGAACAGAGCTAGACAGGCACACACTGCATGAGAGAAAAGGGCAAGAACTTCAGTCATTAAAGATAAAAGAGACAATCAAAAGAAAAAGGAAGTGAAGCAACTACAACACTTGATCTAGAAACTGGGATTAGAAACACCAAAAAACTGCACTAAGAACCCAGCCAGTAAATGAACATACATTCTCAAGGCCATCCTGCACTACAGGAGACCCTGTGAAAACAACAAAACAAACACAGAGGGAGTGGGGAGGGGAAAGAAGTTTCTCAATCAGTTGGTTCATTCTGACAAAGATTTTGATAATCAGAAAAAGGTTTTCACGTCTATGATCTCAGCACACGGCGAGGCACAGGCATGCTTCTGCCATGATGATAATGAACTAAGCCTCTAAAACTGTAAGCAAATCCCCAATTAAATGCTTTCTTTTATAACACTGCCTTGGTCATGGTGTCTCTTCACAGTAACAGAACAGTACCTAAGGCACTGTCTAAATATTTTCTATACTGACTTGGTGTCTCATGTCTGTGATCCCAGCACTTGGAAAGCAGAGTCATGAAGATCAGTCCTCCAGATAAGACTTGGGTGGGAGAAAAAACTAATAGGATTAAATTAATGGAATCATCAGCTTGGTATATTGATGCCTATATGTAATCATAGTTCTCTGAAGGTATAGGTGAACGGATCAATAAGTAGTTCAGGGCATGGCTGGACTATACAGGGATTTTTCTTTCTCTCCTATCCAAAGAAAGAGGTTCGGAACTAAACTTTAGCTTTCACATAGAAGAGTATCTTAGATATCAGGGGATCTGTATGGATGGGAGACAGTGCAGGAGGACACTTGTAAAGCAGCAGTGGTGGGGTGGCCCCTACCCGTGGCTCTGGCTGGCCTGGAACTTGCTGTGTGCACCAGGCTGACACAAACTCTGAGAAATCTGCTTATCCCTTTGCCTTTTGCCCGAGAGGTGGAATTAAAGGCACATGTCACCATGCCTGGCTGACAGGTATGTTTTGAAACCAAAATAAATTTAGTCATTGTATCACTGTTATTGTTTAAGAGTTGCTTGCAAGAGGGCCTAATAAAGCAGTTATGACCTCAAACTCTCTTAATCTAGCCTTTTACCTATGGAACCTCCTCCCTTCTGTGGAGATCACCTTATACTCTGTTCTAAATTGTTTTTTGAGACAGGGTTTCTCTGTGTAGCCTTGTCTGTTCTGGACTCACTCTGTGGACAAGGCTGGCTCAGAACTCACACTGATCCACCTGCCTCTACCTCCCTGAGTTCTGGGATTACAGGTTTGTGGCACCATGTGTGGCTAGTTATTCCATTTTTTTTTTTTTTAATAAAAGTGACTTTCAGCCTGTTCCTTGCCTTAAGTGCCATTTGAGTGCAACCTCAGAGGCATCTCCTTTATACAGAGATACCACCTACTATGAGGCTCAAACCAATAGGAAACACTAGTGTATGGGCACAAGGGCATAATAAAACCCTCTCAAAAGAAAAGAACAAAAACCAGGCTTCAAACATGCAGAACATACCAGACCAATGAAAGCCTTCACACCTTCAACTGGACCCCACTTAAAAAAAAAACAAAAAACAAACAAAAAAAAAAAAAAACAAAACCACTGCTGCTGTGGTGTCATCAGACCACCAAGCACGTGGATCCGACAGGGAACTTACAGCCCCACTACAGACCAACCTAGCCTGGTCCTCCGTCTCACCGTAAAAGTCCTATGCCTCTGTGGAGTGGATCAGTTTATCCTGAAGCCCAGCTCTGCAAGCCTCTGGCAGCTCTCCAAATATGTTCCTTAATATTTTATTTACCAAACTGAAATGACTGCATCTGTATCTGGCGTGGGATTGATTCCACTACGTATCAAAAACTATGAGAATTTGTCACCTCTGCCTTCATTTTCTTTCTTGCCTGATGCCCAAAGGCATGGTAATCACTCAAGTGTCTATCTGCCTGTAGCACATCTTTCAAAGCTCGTGTTGGCAATAGGTAGGTACTAATATGCTTTGCAGGACCCTGGAGTCAGGGCCCCTGGGACAGACATAATAAACTTCATGGACAGCCAGGGACTGGAATTGCAGCACTCTTTAAAGACTAGTCACAGGAACAGGACCAGAGTCACATCTCTGGCCCTGTGGGAAGACATGGTATCCTGAACCTTGTGGAACGTTGATATCCTGAATTGTGTTGAAGGTTTTAACTAGATATCTAAATCAGGTTCAAGCCTGCAAGCTTTACACCTATCAAAGAAGAGACTTTCTAATAAACAAGAGGCTACCACTGTTCTGTTCCCTAAAACCAATCCAAATGGGGCTGTCGGGCTGAGGAGGCTGCTCAGGTGGCACTTGCACGACACACAGCAAGCCCTAGCCTCAAGCCCAGCACCTGGGGGAGCACCTGTAAAGCCAGCATTGCAGAATGGGGGAGAAAAGAGCTTTCTCTACAGTGAAAGTAGAAGGGGATCAAGACCAAAAACTGCGGCAAAGTCTAAAAGGGAAACAAGGGATTAGGAGGGAGGAAGAGGGAGGGGACCACGACCTGAACTCAGGAGATAACGGCATAATCATGCTAATCAAACTACTTATCTGAGAGAATGAACTGCAATGAAGTAAAAGGAAGTTGCTGGGCCTTTAAAAAAAAAAACAAAAAAAAACACAAAGCTGGCCAGAGTGGCGCCTTTAATCCCGGCACTCCCGGGAGGCAGAGGCTGGCAGCTCTCTTTGAGTTCGAGGCCAGCCTGGTCTACAAAGCAAGTCCAGGACAGCCAAAGCTACACAGAGAATCACTGTCTTAAAAAAAACAACCCCCTCCCCCAAAAAACAATTAATTGCCAAATAGTATTTCCTCTTACCTCCGCCCACTGAGTGACAACAACAGTGGATCAAAATAACCTGAGACGGCAGGGTGCAGACCCGAGTAGAATGCCCAACTCTTCCAGGTATCCTAGAGGGAAAAAAAGGGACAAAAAGTTTCCCAGGTGCAGTGAGGAGCGGGCCTTGAGTCCCACAGCTAAGGTGTAGGCAAGGCCCAAGCCCAGGACCCAGACCAGGACACCACACCCTAACTCCACCCCACCCACCTGCGAATACAGCACAGCGGGAGCCCCGTACCACACCCTGGCACAGATGCCCAAACACGCGGGGCTTGGCAGTTAAAATAATGGCGGCCACCGGAAATCTGGTCAGCCCTCGTGGCCAGGGAGAGGCACTGGCTGTTCTAAGTACGCAGGCGCAGACTATGCAAAGGAAAGTCTGCCCTATCAGCGTCAAGCCAAAGAGAACTCTAGGCTGGGACCTAGGGTGAGTTTTGGGACCAATCAGATGAATGCACAACAGCCTGACTTGTGCTTGCTTGCCTGCCTAAGGTGACGGTTAAAACTGTTAATGCCTCAGGAACTCGGGATCGAGAAACTGCACATGCTCATGTGCAGAACGGAAGTGCCCATCTCTCCAGTAAAATACGAACGCCACTCTCTACCCCCAAGACTCAAAGTTTTTACTAGTCTGGACCATCAGCAGATAAAGGGGTTACAGACATGAAAAGGGTTAGAAAATAACATGTCACGTGCCTGGTGGCTCTGGTCCATAATCCCAATACTTGAGAGGTAAAGGAAAAAAGTTCAAGGTCATCCTTGGCCACAAAGCAAGTTCCAGGCCAGACTGGGATATATGAGACCTTGTTTCAAAAAGCAAAATCACACTTCGAAGACAGGTGCATGGCCCATGCTGTAACCAAGCCTAGCTCTCCAAGATGGAAGACTGGTAAAGAAACCATCAACGACTTCTGTCCTCAAGTCCATATTGATACAAAACCCAAAAAAGTGGCCTTCTGCCAAGAATAGTTCTACAACAGATTACATCACTTGAATTGGGGGCATTCTATGCTAAGTTATAGCTCCTGTGTCCAGTGTCAGCCCTGTTTCAGCTGATTCACACTGTATATTCACATCAGTGTTGTCAAAAGATAAACTGGCCCTATCAAAGGGTAAAAATATAGCTACCTGACAGGAACCTTTCCACACTCAAGGGTCCCTGACTGTGCAGATGACCCCTATCTGAAACCATGTCCTGGGGGATCAAAGACAACTTTTCAACACAAATGCTCCTTATCTGAGACTGCAGGGTGGAAGCAATGCTGATGAGTTTCCCCCTGGCCCCCACCCTGCTAGGCATTTCTGCTTTTGAAGCCTCACTCCGCTGTGCCTCAGTGCCCAACCTCCATTCCTTGATAGCTTGTTGCTTCACTGTCTCTGCTAGAGGACAGTCTGGTTCTGGTGAGTTGGAGTTGAGCTCCTTTCTTTTTCACCTTGTCCCAGTTCATTCCCAATCTAAAACTTAATGGCCTTCTGTTCTCAATGGTTCTGCACACCAAGTAATGGATTATCCACCAGAGAAGACTGCTCGGACATTGAGTTATAGGCCAATATAAAGTATTTGTTAGCAAGATGGTGACTATACTGGTTATTTGGAACCTCAGCCTATCTCAGGGTAAGCTTGTAAGCATAAAAACTGTATTCTAGGTTGGCCTACTTCAGAACAGTTAGCTAGAAGCAGAACTACAGAAGCCGAAAAGCAAGGTTAGTACATTTAGAGACTTTTCTAGAACTTTGGACTTTTATGAATTTGGTCTTTATTTTCACTATGGTAGGTGGTACAGTCTATGTGCTGAGTTTTATAGTCTGAATGGTACTTCCATCATGGAGTCAGTTCTGCTAAGGTCTGGGGGCCTTTCACACCTCGTACTTGTGTTGAAGCCTATCTCCTTAACTGCATGTCTTAACAGACACATACTGTCTCCAAACAATGCACTTAGCAACCTGACCCATCTCGGCTTCTGGAACCCTTATAATGATCAGTTTTATATCACTTCTACTCAAGTATACTCTCAGGGTATCTGAGTATACAGAATAGTGTTAGGTCCAAATTGTGCTACCTGTTAGGTCCAAATTGTGCTACCTGTAAGGTCCAAATTGTGGTACCTGAATGGCAGTGCTGGTGTCAGTGTCCTAAAGAGGACTCTGACCTCCTAACAGAAAGATTGTTATTGAGTAAACAGAAGGCTACATTCTGCATTCCTAAGCATTCCTAAGTAGGGCAGATCAGGTAAGCCACTATTTCCTGTAGTTGCCCGCAACCACCAAGAGTAACCGCCTGCACAAGGGTCTGGGAATTAAAAAAAAACAGAACACGATGAAGTGACACCAAGACAGTGCTCTGATCAAGATGCCATCTTTATTACAGAGTAAACCACTTATATAGGTTTCCAAGTAAACATATCCAAGCAAAACAGGAAACTTAACCAAGCAAAACAGGAAGCTTAATCAAGCAAAACAGGAGGTGCCTGCTGAAAACAAGAATAGCAAGCCAGCATGACTTGCACACACGTGACCATCTCAGGTCCAATGGAATAGTTACCTCAGTTCCCCCTTTTTCGTTTATGATCAAAGACTCATAAGGCTTCTTTTCTTTTAATATAACAATAATTATGAAAACTGTTAGGTAAAATCTACGTGTGCAATGTCCAGTCTATGTGTATTTAGCAACTTAGGAGAAAGTATCTGATTATTCTATCTTGACAAGTTTAGAGTTTTATACCTAAATTAACTTTTATCCTTATTGGTATTGTTACACCCAGTTCACGAGCCCCCAAAAGACCTACAGAAGTCAACTTTGTTGCAAAACACGAGGGTCTTTTTATTACAAGCTCGAGCCAGGTGGCTGGCCTTTACAAAGACATACGGGCTGTAAGACCTGGGGTTTCACAGCTCAGGCGTTCAAGATCGCACCCTTCCCAGAAACTCTCCCAGACCAAGACTCGTTGCAAAAGCAAGAAGTTTATTAACCATTGCGCAATGGGGTCACCCCTGCAGGTCAGCAAAGAGTGGCACCAGGAGACAAAGGCCTTTAGGTTTTTAAAAGAAAAATTGCGGGAAATTTGAAGTTGCAGTTTTGGCAATTTAGGATTGGATGAGGAAGCTATAAAGTAAGATAATTGGTTAGTCTTAGGTTCTCAAGCTTGGCCAGTCCTGCCAAGTGTGGATGCAGCTGCAATTAAAGGTGGAGGTGGTTAGCTCATCCTTGAAGCTTTGGGCTGCAGGCTCTTGGCTGGAGGTCAAAAGCTACTCAGAAGAAGTCTAGGTTCGTTGCTAAGAAACACTATCTCGAATACAAGGGTCTGGTCCTTCTTTTTGCTGAGTGAAGATCATTGCTTGCTTGCCTTTTTTTTTCTATCTGTCCTCACAGATAGGGTCACATTTTTCCATTCTCTGGAAAGGTACTAAGAGGCTTTAGCTTAACCTGAACCTAAAACTCAAAACAATAGGCTTTAAAAGACATACAGGTTACAAAGTTAGTCTAACCCTTTCAGGGCAAGCGACCCTGGCTCCAGGAGATTAAGGTTTTTAAAGGAACAAAAATGCCAATGGGGTAGTACAAGTGTTGGCATTACAGGATTGGGTAAGAGGAACAAAACACAAGTAGAATGGTCTCTAGGGAAGCTGACCTTTAAAATGATTGGTCTGTTTTTAAGTGCCAAGACTGCTAACAGACAGGCCTAGCTACCTGGGAGACATCTGACCTCTAGTTCTTAGGGGCCATGTGACTCTGGTCACACCCTGAGGTTTATCTGGGTGGGGACTGCTGCTGATCCATTATCTGGAGTCTGTAGTTTTTTTTCCCACTCAGTCCCAAACCGCTATATTCAAAATCCCACTTTTAGGAAACCAGGGACAATTAACATCTACTTGATTAAAAAAGTCCTAAAGAGTTCAACTTTCAAACCCAACTCCTCCTGTTTTGAGTAATTGTTTGAGCATTTCAATAAATGCTCCCTGGCTATTGCTCTGTCCCACATTGCACTGTCTGGCCCTTACCTTGCACTCTCGCTGATGGGCGATCACCGATGTGCTTTCTTTTTGGCCCAATGGACGTCCTAAGTCACAGCGTTCCTCAGCAGATCCCTCGTTGTCAGGTTCAATCCTGGGGCTTCGGAGCCACCTGTAGTCGCCCGAGACCACTAATAGTAACCGCTTGCACAAGGGTCTGGGAATTAAAAGAGACAGAGAACACGAAGAAGTGACACCAAGACAGTGCTCTGATCAAGGTGCCATCTTTATTACAGAGTAAACTACTTATATAGGTTTCCAAGTAAACATATCCAAGCAAAACAGGAAACTTAACCAAGCAAAACAGGAGGCTTAACTAGGCAAAACAGGAGGCTTAACTGAGCAAAACAGGAGGCATAACCAGTAAAACAGGAGGTGTCTGCTGAAAACAAGACTAGCGAGCCAGCATGACTTGCACGCACCTGACCATCTCAGGTCCAGTGGAATGGCTACCTCACTTTCCCTTATTCACCCGAGTGGTCAGCCATTTTGGACAAAGGCCTGTACCTGTTCTCCTGCTGCTATTAGTCCCCTTAAAACTTACAAGGCTTTTCCCACCATCTGCTGTCCTCTGCTCCCTGAAGACAGCCCAAAAGTTTGATTACCCAAATAGACTTTTCTAGCTACCGAGTAGTCTAGCTCAGTGATTTTTCTGCACTCTTGCTTATGAATGGAAAGGATGATCTATACTGAACTGAGCTGTTGGTCATTGCAAAGACATGAATTCCTCTATTGCACATTTAGAGATAGTTGCCATACTGGTCATTGTTGTGCTTCATAGGCATCACAGCTAGGTAGGAGTAGAAATTTCTTCTTCTCTTGGCAGCTTACAAGTACCTTCCAGTAGCGTGAAAGGTATCCTTAATGAGGAAGTTTTCAGGTCAGATCCAGCCCCAGTCATATGAATCCTGTGTCTTCAGCAGCAGGGACTGTCCTAGTTAGGGTTTCTATTGCTGTAAAAAGACACCACTACCATGGCAACTGCTATACCTTGATCACAAGATCCTGAAAAGACCACCAGGAACATGAATCTGATGCAAACACCTGAGGGTTTTATTTAAGCTTGAGCTTAGACTGTCAATCCTCCATGATGTAGTGGTTCAGAAAGAGCAGCCCTGAGCCTCAAAAGAGCAGAGTTTTTTAAAGGGAAAAAACAAAAGCAGGGAATTGGCGTTATAGGATTGGGTGAGGATTTAGCAAGCGAGGTGACCTTTAAGCTGATTGGTTCGGACCAGCTGGCCAAACCGCAAGGGGGAAAGCAGGACATTGCAGAAAACAGGATATCTAAAGAAAACATTTTGACCTGGGCAAGTGGGTGTACTTTTATTTCATTGGTTGGTCCCAGGTACAGAGCCTAATTATTCATGCCAAGTTCCTCCTGTGTTTTTTTCACTTGCCAAGTTCCTGGAACTGAGGTGGGGGAACTTGGGTCGCATAAAGGACAAGGACATTCAAAATGATGTCTGAAAAACAGGGTTGCATAGTTCTGTTCTTTCTCTCTTACAACTTTTACAAAGGAAACCTTTTATCTATCTATCTATCTATCTATCTATCTATCTATCTATCTATCTATTTATTTATTTATTTATTTATTTATTTATTTATTTATTTTCTTTTTGAGACAGGGTTTCTCTATGTAGTCTTCGCTGTTCTAGACTCACTTTTTAGACCAGGCTGGCTTAAACTCACAGAGATCTTAATGCCTCTGCCTCCACAGTGCTGGGATTACAAAAGGAAAACATTTAACTGGGGTCTGGTTTACAGTTCAGTGTTTTCGTCCATTGTAAAAGGAACTTTTATTCACCTGTTTCAATTGGTCTCAGATGCTTACTGCTTCTATCTGCTAAACTAGGCCTAGTCACGGACACTTCTAGCATTTGTACAATCTAACCCAGCCCTAGAATGTTTTCAGCCTCTGAGACTTACTGTTTAATAGGCTCACCCTTTCTTGTTCTCATTGAGCTCTGGGCTCACTGGTACAACTCAGTTGTTCTGGCTCAAGGTCCTCTCCCAGCTAACTTATTCAGTCTGGCTTTTCTCTTGGCCTCTAAATTGCTCTATTTAGACTCAGACTAACTCCAGCAATCTGCTCTAACCTTCTGGCTCATTCTCGTTATTTGGCTCAGTCAGTCTTCATCTAGTTTTCTCCCTGTGACCTGTCTCTGTTATTGTCCTGGTGCCCAAACAGGGACCTGACTAAGCAGTAAGTCTCGTATAGATGCAATATGCCTCCAAGACGACAATTACTTCTGGAGACTGAAAGTTACTTTAACTTATGGTACTCAACGTGGTTGGTAAGAAAACCCAACATGACTGAAAAAGTAGAAAGTCCACAAGTGTTGCATAAGCAGAGGACATCTGATAGAAACATGTCAGAGGACAGGAAACATCTGACAGAAAGCTGCAGAGAAGAAATTTGCCTGGGATCATGTCCAGAGGAAGATTCAGTTTATCTAGTTCAGCTGGATGACCAGAGAGACTTGGGTAACCTTGGAGTAGTAGGAATCTGGAGCCCAGACCAAGGAATGACACAGGAGCCTTTGAGACAGTGAATCACAGTAAGCAACCCCCAACAGACAATTTTAATAATGTGGACAGACTTTTCCTGCATTAAAAATGAGAAACTCCATTTCATATCTCTTGAAAACAAAGCTAAGAGTTGAGGAGATAGAAACATTATTTGAAAAAGTCATTGTAATACTCATTGCAATTATGACCACCCCTCTCTACTGTCAATTCCAATCATTATAATTTTCCTCTCAAAAAAAGGTTGAAAAAAAAAGCTGTACAAGAAAAATTAGTTATGATAATAAAAGACTTGTGAGAGAAGAGACAGAGGAATTAAGAGAACAGAAAATTTTTAATTGTGAACCTAAAGTAGCTAATGAAATTGAGGATCAAAGTAGACAGCCCATTGATAACAGGTAAGAAGCCTGGCTCACTGGAGTGGAGCCCAGCTCACTGGAATGAAGCTGGGCATGGAATGAGAGTGCCTAAATGTCCAGTTTTCTTTTTCTTTTCTTTCTTTCTTTCTTTCTTTCTTTCTTTCTTTCTTTCTTTCTTTCTTTTTTTTTTTGTAGATTCATAAAGATCTAATTGTACCTTCTTAAACAGAAAAGGGGAATAAGATTAGCTAAAAGACACTGGATTGTAAACTGGGCATGGTGGTGCACGCCTTCAATCTCAATGCTCAAGGAGACAGAGGCAGAGTGATCTCTGTGAGTTCAAGGCCAGCCTGGTCTACACAGTCAGTCTAAGACACCCAAGGCTACACAGAGAAACTCTGTCTGGAAAGAGAGGGGGTAGCTCTTCCAAGTTAAAGGTACATGTTGGTATAATGGTTTTATGGAATGTATACAGTTTACCCTTGTTCATTCAAATGCTGATTTCTCTACCCCACTATCTGGTTTCAATTCAGACATTGCATTGTGATGTTTATTCTAAGCATCACCTGTCTCATGTTTGCATAAACATGCCACCATTTGTTCTCTATAAATTCAATAAAACAGCCAGCCAATGTTGTGCAATGGAGATAATAGGATGGGATATCCTGGTCTGGAGGGGAGGAGAAGGAATCGAGTGGGAGTAGTATGAGAAGAGAGATCAGCAGGAGAGGACTTGGAACCATGAGGAGATATGAACTGGACCTAAGATATGACTAAAGGCAAGTATAATGTGGGAAAATCTGAATAGGAGGAAACTATGTGGGCTTGGAGGTTTAGGATGGAGTAACTATTGCCCAGCATTGTGCTCTAGGTTAACTAAATAAATCCTAGTCTCTGTGGTGATTTGGGTGTACAGCTGGTTTAGGAATAATTGCTGCTAAACTGAAAGAGAAATCGAAAATAAATATTAATAATGCACAACAAATGGAGTACCAAACTGTGGCAGAATTTACAGTAATCTAGCAATAATTTACATAGAAAGTAAAATTATATAATAGTTTTTTAGTTCTGTTCCTTAAAAACAAAACAAAAGCAGTTCCAAAACTAGGAGCTCACAGATTTCTGGTTAGACAGACCCCCTGCAGAGCAGCAAGGCCTTCCAGTGGGCTGCAGAAAAACAAAAATTCATACATACAGGCCACAGAGAGGCAGTTTCTTTAGGTAAAGAAAAACAGTGGGGCTGGAGAGATGGCTCAGAGGTTAAGAGCACTGGCTGTTCTTCCAGAGGTCCCGAGTTCAACTCCAAGCAACCACATGGTGGCTCACAACCATTTGTAATGAAATCTGGTGCCCTCTTCTGTTGTGAAAGTGTATATGCAGTACAGAACATTGTATACATAATAAATAAATAAATAAATAAATAAATAAATAAATAAATAAATCTTAAAAAAAAAAGAAAGAAAAGAAAAACAGTGGCTGTTTAACAAAGAAGCTCTCAAAGCCAGACTTTGCTAGCCAAGGCAGAAAGCAAAACCCCTTTTGAGAAGGAGTTCTTGCGGGTCTGAGGAGCAAGCATTTGTGGACCCATTAACTTCCCAGAGTAAGGAAGGGGTCAGGTGTGGGAGGCAGGAAAAAATACCTCTCCCTAGAAGCAGGAGCCAGAAACAGACAGAAAAGCCTCAAGCATCTGAACTAGTAAGGTCTGAAAGGGAAACTGCATCTAAGAAAGTAAAGTCCTTAGGGAAAGGCTTATGAGGTTAAAAAAGATAATTTTCTATGTTGAAAATGGAGGAAGACACAATGACACAGTGCTTCTGGGTACCATTTGAGTTTGTTTTTCTTAGCATACAAATAATATTTTCACTGATTTCAGTTTTGTATATCCTCTTTTTGGAAAGATCAGGATAAGACAAACTTGGAGAAAGAAGAGACTGAGAAAATAGATGCTAAATTAAAGACAATAGAACAGAGGTTGAGGGAATCTTTGAATCAAAATAGAGAGCCTTCAGAGCAATACAGTCCGGTACTTACAATAACACCAAAAGAGGTGGTTTCAGGTGAGTAAAGTCCACAGAGGCTTGACGATATTGCAAAATGGCAGCCCATTGAGATGCTGGAGAGAAAGTCTTCAGCTATATGCCAATTTGGTCAGACTGGATGTTGTATGTGTATTGAAGAAAGCTACTAATCTCAATTGGTCGAGCATTTTAGACTCTTCCAAATAGAACTTCTATTAAGCTGAAATTTCTCAACATTCAAAGACTGGACCACAAATGTTAATGCTTGCTTAATTAACCATTTTCCCCAATTTCCTTTGGGCCCCCTAACAGGATTTCTGGGTGCCCAAAAAGTCAGTTAGAAAAAAAAATCATGAGAACAACATACAATTTCCTTTAAGGGGGGTTGGGTAGGTTTTCTGTGGCTATATATGTTTATTGTCATTGGGAGATGGTTATAAATTATTAATGGTCTTATTCAAAGGGAAAACAAGGTTTAGACTCAGGGATTTCTCTCTTTTCCTTTTCTCTATCTTTCTTAGATAAGGAGAGAGGGGGTTTAAAAGAAAGAAAGGGGAATACAGGGATATCTTATAGGAATAATAAGACAAAAAGGTAGATTATTGAATCTACTCAACTTAAGGTTTTATTTGTTATTTTCAAATAAGGTTATTTTTAACTCTCATATAGTATTTTGTATATTGATGCACAAATAAGTCTATTTTTAATACATTGGTAAATTGTAGTATATTGATACAAATTCAAGATTACTTCTAATACTTTTAAACTGCTATTACAAACTGTTTAGGGTATTAGGTAATGCAATTAAATTGCTAGTTAATCAATTCATAGTCATATCAGACACTAGTCTAATTTATCATGGGAGTATACATCATAGGTTTAACAGATATATATGATTCTTTAGACAGGTCAATTATATAAATATAGCTAAATCTTCTAAAACCTCAGAGACCTACAGAATATGGCATTTGAAAATGTCTTTATTATTTTAAAGATTCTTTGACAATGAGACAGGTCATCTCCAGGCTACCTGAAAGAAGACGATGAGCATCGAAGAGCCTCCATATGGAGATTGCTTCAAATGTGGCAAACGAGCCATCCGGCCAAAAAGAAAATGCCCTCGTTTCATGATAGACAGAATTCTGCCAAAATTGGGCAAGTGTAAATGCA